AATCTGCACTGGTCTCTTTTCTAACCCACATTCGCAAGTGTGGGCACAGGGGGCTGAGGGAAACAAGGCAGTAGCTGCAGAACACCAGTGCACAGAGCTTGCAGGGCTCACAGGCTGACTACTGGGGGGTAATCACCATGTCTCTTTCCAGGGAGCACCAAGAGGAGAGAGACAGAGAGAGACAGATGGGGGAGGGGGGTAAGGGATAGGGAGGAGGGAGGGAGAGGGTCCTCTCATGTGGAGCAGTAAATAGGAGATGTACTCCAAACTGAGTCTTCAAAGCGCATTAATATGCTCCAGGCAAACAATAGCTCTCTTGTATGTAAAGTATACCCAGATAAATTCAATCCAGCCATGTTGGGTGACCTCCTAAACACTGATCCCTTTGCTTTCCAGTACTGTTTTCCAAATTGTCTTGCATACATGCCTCTCTGAATTAGCAGCACAGGAATCTAAGGTACTGATGAGCTGACTTCTTCCAAAACTAGCTCATACGGGGAGTTATTAGTCTACTGTGGCTTATTATACATTTTTACATATTTGTAATTTTTAGACATTTATTATTTTCCCCCTTAAGCTTGCTAGGTTTACTTTAGTTATTATTTCAATCAGCTTAAGGTCCATGTCAACAAATGATCCGAAGCAGCATATTTGAATTTAATTCCTGGCTGGCATACCTGTCTGCTTTTCCACTAATTAATATCACATTGCCAAGGAGGACAGAGTCTCTAATTTGATGAGAGAAGTTTACTGATGGGATAAACAAGACAAAGCTCCCCTACAGGGATGCCCAGTCCTCTGAGGCAGAACCAAATCTAATTGTCCAGGATGAGGGTTCTGGCTTTCCTTTCGTCGTGTTCTAAAGCCTCCTTTGCCTCCAGAAAATGAAAATGAAAATAACAGGTGTTGGGTGTCAAGTAGAAGCTAAGAATGTTGTGGACTAATCCACGTTGAAGCTGAATTCCCGGAATGGTCTGGGAGGGAGGAGGAAGGTGAGCTGGAAGAGGGTGAAACCAGAAGCCAGCAAGAGCGAGACAGACTGTGCCTGTGACAAGAACCCTTCCCTAGGTACCCACATGCTCAATTCAGATCTTCCCAGTGCCTGAAGGAGACAGCTGATGGAGACCAAGGATGAGGAACTAGCCAGCACATCTTCATTTGGGGAAATCGGGGCTAACACGTGCAAGCTTGGACTCCAAAGCCTGGGAACTTGGGTTTGAGCAAAATTTATCCAACCTCCGAGGAACGATGATCTACTGGGTAACATTTTTGGTTCAAGAACAAGTGATGATAGTCCTACTAGATCTTATAAAAACAGGGAACAAAGATTCCAGCCCCTCTTTGTAGAAGACATGCTGAGCCCCATAGAAGTACAAGAGATCTGTCCTGTGACTTAGACCTTAAGGAGAAATATTTGGAGCCAACTGGACACTTCCCTAACACTAATCCAGTGTTTAATGCTAAAAGAAACATGGTAAATTGAGTGAGTTTTTAGATCCAAGTTGCTCGATTACAAGAAAAGCAGGATTGGGAATGAGGTGACTTGAATTCTAACCTCACAGCTGCCTCTTCGCTCTTGCCTCTCAACACTTACTTGTCCCCTCTGAGTATGTATGATTTTAGCCTTACACACACACATACACACACATGCATACACATGCACACACACACACACTCACGCATGCACACACACAATAGTTACAATGCAATGAAAGTGAAATTATACTAAAAATATAAAGCTATGACTCCTTTTCTGTTCCCACGGATGGACTGGAAAACCACTGTGACTGAGGAAGTGGCGAGCACTATTTCAGCTAAATGACCTCCTTGTCATCAGCACTCATCTCTGTGAGAAAACCGTGCCACCTCCTACCCTTCAGGATTCGGCCATCCAGTTGAGTAGCAGTAGCTGATGTGATTGTAAGAGCCTTGAGTGATCTTTTAGATGAGCGTTCTCAAGAGAATGTGGTTTAAAAAGAAATGAAAGTAACCAATCAGCCAGAGAAGTCAGTCCAGCCTATAGGCAGTGTAAATATAGGAGTGGATGATATTCCAGGGATCGTCTTCTCATTTCCTCTCTAGCAGAGAAAACCCTTTCAGTCAGATGTCCCCTGCTGTTTTACTTTATTACTGTCTATGGAATGAATGTCCATGGTGTCTAGAAATAAGAAAAAGATGGATAAGCTGTATGACAACCTTAGTACTAGCGCGCTCTCTCTCTCTCTCTCTCTCTCTCTCTCTCTCTCTCTCTCTCTCTCTCACACACACACACACACACGCACACATCCACTTGTAACTCAGATCTAGAGGATCTAGCGCCTTCTTCTGGCCTCTGTGGGCACAGGTACTCACATGTGCACACATGGACATACACGCAAACAATCATACACATAAAGTAGAATTTTAAAATGCCAAGAAAACTCAGAACCCCTTTAGAATGCCATTTAGAAGCTCGCAGTTGGTGCCTTAAATTTTCCCCAGTGGCGACAAAATAAATCCAGGGAATTTTTCTTAATTAAAGAACTTGTTAGAAAACTATGACTGTATTTCTAGAGATGCTTATTTTAAACAACTTGAGTATTCAGCAATGTGGAATTCAGTAAAAGACTGGTCAGACTTGACTTTGATAGAGGCTAATCAACTCATAAGGCAATCATGAGTGCCCTGTAAAAACAAATCCATAAAAACTCATAACAATATCCTATGGAACAGGCTGATAGCTGCTTAGAAATATGTAAGGCTGAGGAAAAAGAGCCTACGGATACAGGACAGCATGAAACGAATTCCCACAGAGAAAGGGTGTGAGTCAGGTTTCTTAGCTTCATCTTCTGTTAAAGGTTCTTTTTAGCAACATGAACAAGAGAGAGAGCGAGTCCAACGCTCAGTCCCTTGGGGTTCATATATCAAGGAAAACATTACACAGCCACCTAAGCAATATTTTTCTTCCCCACTTCAAATCTCAGCATGAGTTTTTCCCGGATCCGGGGCTTTAACCTTGTTTTGTTTTAATGTCTCTGGCTACCATGGTTCTTCTATGAAAGTCAAACAGAGTTTACATTGTTCCCACAGCATCCTCTCTGCCTCATGCCATGAGTTATGACACCAGAGCATCCTGCCGCCGGGTCTTTGAAGGCAGACCCAGTAGCTCTGTACTGTTTGTGAAGCCACGATGATGGTCCTCATTCAGGGTGAATTCTGCTTCCAAGTTCTTGCCTTTTGTTATGTCCAAATGTCATATCGAAACTTTCTCATAATGTCCTTCATTATTGGAAGTCAATAATTTTGTCATCTTACCAAAGAAAGGGCAAGAGTTACAGTTATGTGACTTTCTGCAGGAAGCAGAATTTCTCCCAGCAGGTCACAACTTTAGAGGTTACACCGCAGAACAAGAGTGAAATGCTTCCTGCTCGGAAAAAGACACTGCAAGCTCCGCAGGCCTGGGTTATCTGGTAGCCGCATACACATACCCTTCTGTAGGTTATATTTTCCTCGGGTTTCTATGCCGTCTGGAAAGCCACTTGTAGATGGGATATATGAATCCAATGATGAAGAGAATATAAATCAATCTCTTTCCTCTCCCCCCGCCTCCACCCAGTCTCTTAGGTCAGGCTAGTACAAATCTTGACTGTTTTCTATATGTCTAGACAGAGTGCTAAGATAAAAATACAACTTGCCTCATAGAAGTTTGTGATAATTGAGTTAATGAATGGAAGGTTGTGGCTATTAAGAAAGACTACTTTATGGCCAGTGAGAAGGTTCAACAGGTACGGGTGAGTCCCACCAAGTCTGAGGACCTGAGCTTGATACCTGGAACTCACATACGGAGCGATCCAATTCCCTCAAGCTGTCCTCTGACTTCTACATATATGCTGTAGTGTGTGCATGCATGCATTTGCACATGCATACACACATACAACGAGATAAAATTTAGAAGTATTTATTATTAATGTTATTAATGTATGTGAATCTGAAAAAAAAACACAAAAATAACCACAGTTTACTTAGGAAACGGTCTTCAAATTCAGTTAAATTTTGTAGTGAACCCAAAACTGCTCTTAAAAAACACCGTCTTTAAGGAGTCAGCTAAGAAGCAACTTTACTTTTCTCCATGGAAAGAAGAAAGCTGCCTGGAAGTCAATCATATAGTGAAGGACACTGGGAAATGTTCCATAGATGAAAATTAAGTTCTAATGGATGGAAGTATGAGCCACATGGGAGCACCAGAAGGGGGCGCAGTGTCTTGTTTCTGGGCACTTCACAGGGCTTGGGTTCTTTTGTTATTGTTTCATTTTTATTTCCCTTTTTGAAACACAATCACTGGTTCAAAAGGATGCTATATCCCGGCATCCCTCTAAAAGAGGGCCATTTTCTAGCCCAACAGCCATTACTTTTCTCATGAAAGCTAATCTTTCAGCATGACCATGAGGAGTAAGTCTGGTTGTTTTCATTACTTTCACAACATCATTGTAAAACGACTTTTAAAAGCCTTTTTAAATTCTGCTTTTTTTTTTGTTAAATGTGTATTGGCAGATTAGGTAGGTGTTTAAGGATATGTATTTTCAAAATAGACATTCGTCAATGCTACTTTAAGTTTAATAAGAAAAAATCTAATGATTTAGACTTTATTTAACTGATATGATAGGTCTCTTTAAAGTTCTCCACCAAGAGAGTTTATCATTGCCAAGTGACCCTTATTCTTTCAACAAGTACTAATTGGATGACACCCACAACCATATTATTTATTAGCCCTATAGATAACTCACTTCAGCTTTCTCAATGATGAAACCACACACACACACACACACACTCAAAACAAATAACCCAGTTAAATACTTTGTTCTCAAGTATGTAAAAATTTGGACCACACTGGGACTAATTATTCTAATAGTTCCTTAACTCTGTTTTTCTGGCACATTCTAGGATGACCAACTCTTCTCATTATCTCTAAAGTGTGCTAGGTTGGCTTGTGTTGCTTAGTAACGTGTGCCTTCTCTTTTGAGGGTGAGCCTGGATCACCTGGAGAAGCAGGGCAGAGTGGACTCCCAGGACCAAAGGTTGGTACAGATAAAGCCAAGCACCATCACCCACTGCATGGTTTCCAAACAGTGTTAAGCTGTCACAGTCTCTTAAGTTATTTTTCTGGTTGTAGTCGGATAGACCTTTTTGTCATGGGTAATATGCAGTCTTAGAACTTTATAACGAATGACTAAATTATGCTTATGCTTGTCAGTAGCATTAGACACGCAGAAAAGAAATGGGATGTGATTGTCTAAAATCTTTCTTGGGGGTCTGGGGAGATGGCTAAGCAGTTAAGAGTACCTACTGCTCTTTCAGAGGACTGGAGTTCAATTCTTGGTACCCTCCATAAGAAACTCCAGGCCGGGAAGGTGCATGGTCTCCTCTGGCCTCCAAGGAAACCAGCACACACATTACAGGTACACAGATACACACACATGCAAGGAAAACACCCATAATATAATTTAAAAAATATTTCTTGTGGGATAATTAAATAGCACAAGAAAGTCCTGTCATTTTACCCCTTAGTAAGTTGCGAAAACAAAGGTCATGGTCATACTTCCTCAAATGTACATGTTAGCAAGCCCCACTACAGATAATGTTCATACAGCCAAGACAGCTTTTTCTCAAGGTTTGGCCACCTTCAGCTTCTATACAACATGCCCAGTTAGTCAGACGAAGAACAGAATAAAGACATGGTGTGTTTAGAATTTAAAAATGGATATAGTTGGAATTACTAAATAGGGGAAAAATGTAATGAGGATATTTTTTGGATTGCCTGCTTTCTTGGTTTCTTGAAGAACAAATGAATTTGTTAAATCAAAAGAGATTGGTGACAGTTAAGTTTAAACCAAGCAGGCAGATGAATCCCAAATCCTTTGATGAGTGAACACCCCCTTGAGGTACAAAATTGATGTCTAATCCCATCAACTGTGCTGGTGTGAGTCTGTACCCACAGATGTCTGTCAACTGATTTTACACGGCGCACTGCTGTTTAGGTGCTGTGGACAGACCTAAAACTCATGGGCCTGCCTTTTTTTTTTCCTTGTTCTAAAGAAAAAGGAAAGTATTCCTCCTGGGAATCCAGCCCTCTTCTTACACTTTATTAAAAAGCTCAGCAGTGGGAGGTAGTTCTCCATGACATCCATAGTTCGCTTCCTGTGTTGCCTGGCAATGCAGCCACCAGGACGGATGCTGAGGGGTGAAGGTCTCCAGAAATGTAGAAAGCCAAGGGGTCAGGTTGATTCCAGAGAATGGAAAGAACTTTGTCTTCAAACTGACTTCTAAATTGCATTCTCTTACTTTGGTTTTCTTCTTTCCCACAATAACCTCCTTAAAACACTTTAAGCTCTCTGGTCTCATGGCAACGTTTACTCAAGCTCCCCATCAGGAAATAGCATCATAAGGTGTATGGACTTTAAGAGCATCCCCTATCTGTCCCCGCCCTTTCCTAGAAAAAGGGAAAAATGCAATTCTTTTCAGAGAATAGTTTCATATTTTAAGCATTGTGTTTTCTTGGCCATCATTTCTGGCAGAAACCTTACTCGCGAAGTTACAGAATTGATGATCTTGTCAAGGGATCTAAGTTCTGCACTGAGGGTTGATGATCATGTCCAAGAAGTGCAGAACTGTACCAGGGATGGCCCTGAAATAACCATGCCTACGGACATGCTTTAATAGACAGCTTTATGGAAGGATATGCTAACACCCACCTTATTGACTTTGAGTATAGACAGATATTGAGTTGCCACACTGCAATGTCCCAGGCCATTCCTGGGTGATATTTTCTACTGCACATATCATTATCCTTATAGAAGTAATGACTTAAGATTAAAGTTAGCATTGGTATCTGCACTCAATTCTTCTGGATACTTATGCAACTTGTTTTCATATAGAAACCAAAGCCAAAGATAATGCCCTTGTTACTTCACCTTGTGCAGTCTTTGTAAGGTCAGGATCTGCATTGTTGGCTGTTGCTTTATTTGCTCTTCATTGATATCTCCCAATCTCTGTTTTGTGCTCAGGGGGAACCTGGAAAAGAAGGAGAAAAGGTAAGGATGGTTCTGCTTTGTTTATTACTCCCCTCTTCTCTTTGTTTAGTACACCCAAGCTGAACTAGATGCCTGAGAGGCTGGATGGTGGGTGGATGGACAGATCGTTGTAAGTGGAAATGGGGAAGAGGTAATAAGTGTCCGTTTGCCTGTCTTTTAGACTGCCAAATAGTGGAAAGATAAAATATGATTTTATCTTCTGTATCAATTTTGAGTTGGGGTTGGAAGGAAGAAGGGCAAATACTACATGCCAGACTGTATAGTGGCTTTCAGAAGCCCCTAGGCTTGTAAAAGCCCATTCTTCCAAGCAGTGGTGGCACACACCTTTAATCACAGAACTATGGGAAGCAGAGGCAGGCAGATCTCAGTGAGTTCAAGGCCAGCCTGGTCTACAGAGCAAGGACAGGCTTGAGCTACACAGAGAAATCCTATCTCGAAACCCACCCCTCCAAAAAAAAGAAAGAAAATCATCATTCTGTATACTTGCTAAGGCCATTCTAATGCCTTCCTAAACATCCACAACTGTCTCTGCTGGTGCTCCTGCTGCTGAGGACTCTGAGTCAAAGGTCAAGGGATACAGATGTTTACCTGCAGCAGTTGTCTAAAAGAGACCCAATAAGAATCGCCATCAAAACCAGAGAAGGCAGAGAGCAGAGAGTCAGGGTTGCGTATTAACCCCTGTTAGCTGCCTCCAGTATTCCTTGCAGGCCCATCTCCACAGTGTTCAGATGCCCACTGTGAACGGCACTGTTTATATTTCAGGTGCCCTCTAACTGCTGTGGTGTTTGGCCATGTCTCTGAGTGGAGCGCTACCTAGATACTATGACACATCCTGGCAGTCTCCTCCCACACAGCATAACCCTGCTTGCAAAAGAAGTTCAACAAAAGATCAGGAAAAACAGTCCTCAATGTACCAGTATTTTTTCAGACTTGTAAAGCAGAAAGAAGGCAATATTAAGTTGGAAGAGCAAAATACGGGTTTAAAGGCTCTCCGTGAAGAGACGGTCAAGCTCTTTACTTCACAGCCACTCTGAACCCTCTGAGCCAGGTTTCCCAACAAGGAGACTGGCATGTTAAAGGGGTTTCCAAGCCAATTTCTAAAAAGCCTAGGAGTAAGCTGTCTATCAACACTGCCTTGGAGTATGCACTGTGACGCAGTATGCTTTGGAGTATCAAATCAGTTCACGGTAGCTAACTGAAATTAGTTAGTCATCAAAAGACTGCTTCGTGTAGAAATTGGGGAGGAAGAGGGAGCTGTGCCAGTGAGCACCCATCGCGGGTTCATCAGATGGGGTGCTGCTCAGCTGGCCCGCTGTAAACAGGCGCCTAGGCAGGTTAAGTTCATGTTTATTTGAAATGGAAAACAGAACTTTAGAGGGTAAAGTGAATATCTCTCTTCTACTTTCTCAGTCTTGAGAAACCACAACTAATGATTTTTCTCTTAAGTTTTGAGGAAGTGTTGAAATGATAGAAAAATGATCTCCTCTGAAGCTAGAGAGATGAGCAGCCCAGCATAAGAATGCCCCAAACACAGAGGCTCCGGGACCTCCAACAGCAAGAACTGTTTTTCAGAGTGTGCTGGCATGGTTTGAAATGCTGTGCGAGGTACAGGACTTGGTTCTTACAGCTGAGTAGTGTGCCCTTATCCTCCCATGACCCAGGAGAAACTCAGCGGAAAGAGCATTGCATTTGCCTGCTGAGTGCCAGGTCTGGACTCTGTTCTACTGAATCCGAAATCCATGACGTTTCCTCTCTTACATGCTATAAGGCGTAAATGAAAGCATTCAGAGTTTAGCAGAGCAACGCAGAGATAAAGCCTTTCCCCTTTGCCCTGCCTGGTGGGCAGGAAAGAGATGTCAGGAAGGAGGAGCAGGGAAGTAACCAAAGAAGCACACATTCCCCTAACTCGGTTTACTATAATTTAGGAGACAATATATCTAATAAAAATATAAAAGTTCCCTTTTCTGAATACTGTCTATGGAGCCCCAAGTAGAGAAATACTCAGTCCATAGGCTTTGGAGACCATGGAGTTGACTTGGAAGCCCTGGAGCTCGGCTGGTTTGAAGACAAGTAGAATTTATACAGCTAGGAGGAGAAAAGAGGCAGGCTTGTACAACATGAGGAAGGGCACAGAAGTGGCAAACAGATGTGCCGACATACCGAGGGAAGTGTCAGGAATGTTCTGCTATGGTCCCTTCAGGCAGAAGGGAAGATGAGACCGCAGGAGGGAAGCTTGGTGTCCACGTCAGCCATGAGAAGGCTGACAGGGAAGTCACGCACGGCTTTGTATTGATACCGTGGTGGTTAAAGTGCTCAGCCATGATCATTGCCATCAGCCAGCTGGTCAAGTAAACGTTTCTTGGCTCTGTGAACATTTACACTGGTTTGTAACAAGAGTGTGTCTAGAGGAGATTGCTCTTTATTTCAAGTCACCAATATATCTAAGAGTATCCTATCCCTTTGTCCTCTTCTCAGGGAGATGCTGGAGAAAATGGCCCCAAAGGTGACGCGGGAGAAAAGGTACAGTCTTGTGAAATATGGAAGGGTGTGCGCTTGAGCAAGAATATTGCTGACTGTGTATGAAGTTGGAAGCTATGGAAGACAGGGTCAGAGAAATCTCCCAAGCTAGAAAACAGTTCAATATTTGTCACATAAAAATCGATCGTTCCACATTCTATCCACAAATTTAAATATTCTGAGAGCAAAATGGTTTGCCAAATTTACTTATTTCTAGAAAATAAGGAAATTTCCAACGACAGGTTTCTCAAGCAATAAGCACACCAACTCACGAGGCAGTGTGTCTTCACAGAGGCCTAGAAGGGGACTCCCTCAAGTGATTTGTTCCGTCCTGGTTTTAGAAGGAAGTTATGTTGGTGAGCGAAGATAAAATTTAAAAGTTTGGTATCGAGTTAATAGCACTTGATTGCAGTGTTTATGTAGGGAACCCTAGGAACCACGGCCCTTGCATTCTGTCTTCTGCCCTCCTTGGTCTTTGGAACACTGATCAGCATTGATAGCACATGCGTCCTGGTCTGACTCTGAGTCCCTTCTTTTGTCTCACCAGTCTCATTATGGTGTTTGCTCAAGTTTGCATTTTGACAGCCCTGACTCAATGGCACGGTGACATCAAAAGGGTATTCTTCTGCATCTGTGTAATGTGTTCAGATCTGGCAAGAAATCCCCCTTTAGAAGCTGAAGATAGAATCAGAGCAGGTGGATGTTAGCGCAAACCAAGCGAGGGACCCGATGGATGGGAAGATAACTCACTCAGGCTGACAGTTGAGGGCGAGGCTGATCCACTTTGAAAATTATGACTGTACAGATGGGTAATGGATAGTCATAAAAACATGCTCATAAAATATATAGAGACTTATCTTCCTCTGTCTCATAAATATTAATACAAATATGGCAGAAAGGGTAGAAACAAATTAATGTCACTAAGTAGCAACTCTTTGTACTTGGGAAACAGTTTACATTTAGGACAGAGTCTCAGTTTCTTATAGACCAGGGTGTGTTGGCCTAAGCACTATTGACAATGTGACCCAGATAACTCTTCACCGTGGGGTAGACAACAGAAACTTCATCTACACCACGGAGCTGGCCAGCAAGTCTATGCTCTATGAACTACCCTGACCATCCCTATTTCAGAACCTCTGCTGAAGCTGTATCTTTTTGTCTCCCAAATATCGAGCTGTAGTAAATGTATAAATATTGAGCTGTCATCAAACACAGCATTGAAGTATCTAGTCAAATAAGACCGTGGATGCTCCTGACTGGTGTCAGATCAGGGTTTGAATCCCTGGGTATGTAAACCTGGACAATGGTTTATTTAGCCTACATTTTTTTCTCTAAAAGCAGAAATAAGAAAGCTTGTTTTATAAGTTAATATTTTGGGCTTTGTGGACCATGTAGTCTCCGGCACAACTTCATGATTCTGTTATTGTAGCAGAATTAAGCCACAGACAACACACACACCAACACACACGCACACACTAATTATCAGTAGGGCCGTGTTTAAAGTAAATTTTATTTCTGGGCAAGATGATTTTGATATTATGTCATCTGCCTGTATATAATATTATTGTCATTTTGATTTTTTTAACCATTTAAAAAATATAAAAGCCATGCTTGCCCAATCTTACAAATATCCAGCAAGATTTGACGGCAGTGGCCAACTTTGCTTAAAACAAAGGAAATATTGTACACAGAAGGCAGCCTCTTCAAACAACAACAAAAACATATAAAATGGGAACTGTACCTATGTGAATTTAAATAGAGCATTTTATGCCTTAGAGGCTGTATTTTTTTATTTTTAACTTCGTTTTTGGAACATAGGCCAGCAATTGTTTCTTCACTCACATGGGTTTTGAAATTTCCTTTTGCAACAGTAAAACAATGTTTTCTTCCTTGAAAGGACCCAAGCGTCTCCTAGGAAGGTTGTTTCGGCTTCATACACAATGCAAATCGGTTGCCATACTGACTCACACGCCATAAACTCTTAATAAATGCTAACTTTTCCTACCATGTGGAAATTGAAATCAATGACCTGGTTGTTTTCCTTTTCTTTTTTTATCAAAAAGTTTTATTGCTCAGCTGAAATTAAGTACGAGAAATGCCCCAGCGAGAGCGGAAATCGATTCTATAAACCTTCAATAGGCCTAAACAGGGGGCTGTAAATAGCAATCTGTAGCATGTATAATATGTAATCTGACCCAAGGCATTCATCCCAAGAATGTAGTGATTGGAATCTAATTTTTGATGTGTTTTTTTAAACATTTCCTGCTCCTGTCATATAATTTGTTCCCAGCATGTTGGAAACACTCTTCTTGTGGCCTTTGTCGTCAGCATGTGAAATTCATTCAGCACTTTCCAACTTTGAGGGGTAAAGTAAAAAAAAAAAAAAATTAAACTTCTTTTCTGCTATTGATGTAGTAAATTACGTCATTGGCTGATTCACTTTAATGGACTTTTTTTTTTCCTTTTGATCCAACTCAGCGCCTTCGGATGGTAAAGCAATTTTTACAGTCTGTGGCTTTCCAGGCTGGTCGTCTGGAAATCCTGGGAACTATAAAACCATTGACTGGGCCAGGGCTTCTCTGTGGCCAGCAAAACCATACACTCAGTTTAAGAATAAACTGCCATTTTGTCTTTGGGAGCCTAGCCAGTTTGGATGTTCACCTTCCTAGACCTGGATGGAGGGGCGAGGACCTTTGACTTTCCACAGGGCAGGGAACCCTGACTGCTCTTTGGACTGGAGAGGGAGGGGGAGAGGAGTGGGGGGAGGAGGAGAAGAGTGGGAGGAAGGGGAGGGAAATGAGAGTCTGGGAGGAGGCGGGGAATTTTTTTTTCTTTCAATAAAAAAAAAAAAGAATAAACTGCCAAAGACTGATTTCAATCACATGGAAAGTTCCTATGGAAGCTTTGTATTCTGGTCTTTGGAGTGTTAATTCCGCCAACAAATGTTCAAATAGATTTCTTAGCCACTGCAAGTGGGTGTCTGTGAAACTCACTGAATGGGTGGACCATACTGCTGTACCCCGTGTGGTGTTATTGGCTGAGCCAAGAGCTCCGTCTTCACGATATTGGCACAGATTGCCTGTCCCATGACCTCATTCCTATGCATGCCCTGCCTTCTCATTCGCCATCTTGAACTCAAGCATCTGGCCTTTCACCAGGCATGTCGTAGTTGCACTTACCAACCAAGCTGCCTTACAGACCGCACCTGGAGGGCTGTGTCAGGGGACACTCGAGGGCAGTCAGCGCCTGGTCCTCTCCAAAGCTGCCCCGAGCCTTTCTTTGTTTAGAAGCTTGCTTTCCTGCCTCCCTCTCCCAGCTCCACATCTTCATTTTCTGGCTTCGTTCAGTCTTCAATCTTTTGAAGTTTGGATTTACAAGTCGTTTCCTAGGGAAGCTCTTTAGACACCTAACTGTTCTTTACTGTAATTTCTTTATTAACTGACCACAGCGCTCACTAGCAAACGAACAAACACACACAAACCCATAGGATACTGCCTAGTTTTATTCCTAGTTAGGGCAATAAGATCCCCTGACCCCCCCCCCCAAAAATCTCCTCATAAAAGTGAGGAAGAAGGGGTTATTTGCCTCATAATTTGAAGTTATAGTCCACCATTGTGGGGAGGTCAAATCATGAGGCAGCTGGCCACATTCCATGTGCAGTCAAGAGCAGAAAGCAATGAATTACTATGTGCACACTTGGACTAATCCAAGGCCTAACTATGAAACAGGCCCACACCCAGGGTGGGTCTTGCTACCTCAACCCAATTAAGAAAACCCTACTGAATCTAAACACTTCTAGTTGAAACTCCTTCCGCAGGTCATTCGATATTGTCAGGTTGACAAAACTAATGATAGCTTCACCCCTTGTCAATCTGACACCAAGCACGTTGCCTTTAAGCTTTTATCTTCCATCCTTTGTCCCCAAAGTCAACCCAACAGCTGGATGGTGCCAATCTGTTCTAGTCCCAGCACTAATCCAGGTTCTTAGAACATTGTTACAAGATAATAAATACTGTTTGGAAAACCTTTTTTTATCTTGAACAACTTCATATTTTCACTGGATGATGGCAGGACGTTTCGATAGCCTGCAATTGCTCCTTCTGTCTATATTAACATCTGCGTATTTAATTACTTGCTGAGTACTGCATTTGAAAACAGTCGCATACAAAACCAGTGTCTGACCAAAAGTGAAAACCAGTAAAGTCACCATGTCACGGCACATGCCTTTAATCCCAGCACTTGTCAGGGGGAGAGGCAGATAGATCTCTCTGAGTTCGAGACCAGCCTGATCTCCATTGTGAGACCCCCCCCTCTCAAGAAAAACCAAACAAAGAAATAAAACAGCAAAGCCACATTCATTTATCTCACAGAACTTCTCCATCTGTGGCTCACTCCACTGACTGATGAAGACAGGCATCTACGTAAGCCATAGCTGGAAGGCTGCTTCCCACTTTAACCGTATAGTCTCTTTCACTTTGGGGAGAAGGTTATAAACATCCCCTGCTTGATTTCAGCTACTTGGAACATCATCCCTCCTAGAAGTTGCCTTGCTCTTAAAAGCTGTAGACATTCCTGGGGATTTCACAGTTCTGAATCTTTAAAGAGAGGATAAATGTATGAGGTGTCCATCAAATGAAGCCTCTCATAGTCCCACAAATAAACCATGGTGGACCTTTCCCTCCCATCCACTTGCTCTGAGGACAAAGCCTAGTCTTTAGTCACATACAGTAGGCTAGCCAAACACTCTTGTATAAACTACAAGCAGTTAGCTAAGAACTTGGCGGTAATACAAGAACTACCTTTAATTTACCTGTCTTCTCTAGCCTTTAGGGCCCTTTGTCAAAAGGATATAAGTCTATAATCCTTTTCTCAGTCTAATAAAAAGGACAGTTGAGGAAGCCCACACTTCACTCCCCTCGTAGCTGCTTCAGTTTCCTCATCCTCTAAGTGGAAGTAGCAATGTCTTCCCTGCATGGGAGTTTAAGGCATAAATAGCACAGATGGAGCTTTGCAAAGTCAAATTGCTTTTATGAATATAAAGGTCATGCTATTCACAATACTGCAAACCGGTTCGCTCATGTTGATGGCTCCCAGACTCAGTTTAGCAGAAATAGCAACAAGTATTATTTTCTTCCTCACGCTTATTTCACCCCTCGTTTGGAACTCATTTGAATGTTAATGGTTGCGACAAGCGGGCTCGTTCATACAATATTTAGAGCTCGCTTCTTTGCTTAGCCACGTCTTAATTTTTCCTTGGGTAATAGCAATTACAGATGTCAAAGGAACTCACATGTGCACTCCTTCCCTCAACACACTAAATTTACTATTTCCTCCTCTTCCTAAGCTCCTGGTTCCCCTTTCCTGAAGGCCTCTTTTCATTTTGATCCTTGACTACTGACCCGACTGAAAACATTGTTTTTCAGACGGTCATTCAACTCGTTCACCGTGTGCGTGTAAAGCATCTGCTGTGGTCAGGATGTGGAGTCTGCTCCCATGCAGCTGTCTGTCTGCTAACAGGACAGACAGATATACAAGCAACGCCGAAGACAATGACGGCACAAGCTGTGCCAGACACAAATGAAGTATGCAGATACACAGTAGGGTATACTCACAGCGGGTCACATTAAGGAGAATTGGTGAATGGTTCCGTGAGACAGGATCATGTAAAGCAAGACCTGAGGTATCATCATGGGAGGATGTGAGTGGAAATGAGGATAGGAGTCAGGTGCTGGTCAGTGCACAGGGGCCCGAGGTCTCTGCCTGTGTGTCTATCTCTAACAGAGATTGATGAGCATCTTCTGGACTCTAGAACAAGGGAACAGAGCCCTGGAGATACTTGAGTATTTGTAAACAGGACGGAGCTTAGGGACTCTCAACTCTAGCCTCCCTCCTTCAATTTTCTTGACAGTCACAAATGGCTAAGTCCCCTCCTTTTCTTAGTCCTTCCTGCATGTTCCTAGGTTGGAGAGGACTAGAATGAGGCTGAGAATCTAGGCCTTTTGCTGCCTCATTTACAAACAAGGAACAGTCTCACCTCTTCTCCGTTCTGCATTGGTCCCATCGTTAGGATGGTGTGTTTCTAGGAGTAGAGTCATCCTCCATGAAATCTGGACAAACCCAGTCTTTTAAAAAGCCAAGTTCCCCCCTAATGGCCATCTCTTTCCCCACTCTGTGTCAAAACTAACATCCTGTGACTTGCAGATAAAAACATTTTGGAACCTATCAACTTAGCAGACCAGTGCCTTCTACCAGCCCCAGAGCCAAGACTGTGTCGTCGGTAGCACCTGAGGTCTTGAGAACAGCTTCCACCATCTTGCTGTAACCACCTCTCTGATATACCCACCAGTACATTTTAAATTTATCTTGATGGATGACTTCCTTTGCTCTATAAAACTATAAGACTTCATGAAACTGTTTCCATGTTGAAACATGAAATTGGGGCTACCCAAATCTGTTCTCCTGGACCACAGTCACTCAAAGGAAAAAGAATCTCTTAATCTCTTTAAAAAGTTAAAAGCCAGATTCTCTCTTAAGACGTCCTTAGCCCTTCCATGGATTCCCATTGCCCAGAAGTCATTCATCATCCTGTGACTGAGTTACGGTACAATGAGGATAAAGCAGGAAAAGGCATGCTCCTGCTTCATGGTGGCGACACACTGATCTGCAGCGTGGTTTCTGCACCTCAACATCATTAACCTTTTGACTTCCAAAGACCAAGAAGGGCAGGAACTCCCTGTAAAGAGCCTGTGACATTAATAAATCCCAGAAGCTAAGAAAACTGAAAGTTTCAAATCCCTAAATTAAAATTCATTGTCTCAGAATGTATTTTTAGCACCCTATTAAGGAAATATCTTCATGTTTGTATAGTTTTAGTTACTTCAAGAAATATAATATTTTCATGGTTTGTATTCAAAGTAAACCCATGATTTGAGGCAAGGCATGGTTTCTGTTACATGATGTTATCATATTATACCTGGGCCTATTGATGGACAAAGAATTGGCGGTCACACTTAGGCCCCTTGGTCATACATCGAGTCCCTCTGAGCATCCATGTGGGTAACAGTTGCCTAGATGTTTGCGTTGTTGTTTTGCTACTTATGGCATAATCTCTCCTTGGTTTCATTTTAGGGTGAGCCAGGATCATCAGCTGCAGGAATTAAGGTAACTATAGCCTTGTGGATGTTTGTGCCCTGGGAATCATGGCTGTGACTTTATGAGTCCCCTTGTCTCTTCAGTTTAGTAGCAATGATGGTTGTAGCTCTGGTCCAGTTCTCTGACAACAGCTCCCAAACACAACAGGGAAATCCCGGGCAGTCTTAGTAGGAGGGCTTACTTTCTCTTCCATGTGTCCTTGGTTTCCAAGAAATATCTTTATATGTGAGTTCTAGACATACTCACAGCAGTTTCCTTATGTGTAGCGTGGCGGAGAGTAAGAAAATGGTGCACACAAAATGTATGTCATCAAGTAGGCAGTTGGGATCATTTCTGTAAAACTGCCAAAGGCCTAGCAGTTTTCTAGGTTTCTTCTAAGACTACCGTTTTCATCTTTGGTTTTCTTTGGCCAGGGAGAACCTGGAGAATCTGGTCGTCCAGGACAAAAGGTAATCTCTCTCTGTCCTAGGTGTGTCCTTTGTGTTTCTCCATGACTGGTATTTCATGTCATCTGACATGGAGACATTTGTCACACTGTGGTACAGTTTTCATGCTTTGCACAGTGTTGCTGGTTGCTTTCCTTGTTAAAAGGCCTTGATTCCACGCACAGCAGTGTGAAAGCAAACGCTGTCTATATGTACTCGGCTGTTTGAAACTAACAAATCTCAGCTGAGCTGGAATGCCAGCTCGCTGCCATGCATGCTTACATGTATTCTGTATTTTCTGCGTTCCATGAGAAGAAAATAAGTATATACTAAACAATCTCAATGGAGAATGATGGACAGTTTTTTTTAAAATATACCTCTACCTCCATTCATTTGCCAATGCTTTCCTGCTAACACGTGTCATGAATGTTGCCTTATGGAAACTAAATTTGTTTAAAGAACTAAATTTTAATTAGCGACGCTATACACACCACTTTCACCAACTGAGCTGCGGGTACATTAAATTATCATCTGTGCTTCTTCACTGAGCGCTTATGCTCATTTTTCATCTGGGTCTGAGGCAGGAAACAAATGTTAGCAGTTTCTCAACTGAGCACCAGGGTCTCAGTGCCCAGTACAGCCGAACCTTACATAACAGACGAACTATAGTTAACAAGAAAATGTGAACTCCATAGGACAAATTCCTTAAAACTATGGCTTTTCCTTTGTCCTGTGGTAGCTGATGTTATACACAGAATATGAATTAGGACATAGAACATAGCTCATTAGCAGAGAGAAAAAGATAATCAACCCTATTGCGGTAGTTTAGAAATTAAAGTTGAGAGTTTACTGTATGGTTCGTGTTCTTGACGTCATTGAGAGAATTTGTGTTTAAGCACCTGGGATAGAAGTAACTTCTGAGAAGGTTTGCATGTTCTTTTAACATTTCTCTGATTGAATGACTATTTTTATCTTAGCTCTGCTGCAGGTGAGACGAGACTTTAGCCCAGCTCTTCCAGCTCCTCCTTTTCTGATCTGTCTCTTGGTCTTCAGGCTCCGAGTGTAACTCAAGAATCCATAGAACATATTTTAGATAAATAGTTTGCAGTAACTGCCTTCTTCCTCTCCTTCCCAGTTAATCTAGAGCAGCAGTCCTCCCAGCCTTTTGTCGGTAGCAAATGTATACATACAACCAGTCATACATTACTCTTCAGTGTGTCCCAGTGAAATAGTTCAAGTACCTTTTGGAAAGAAACCTCAGTGTTCTTTCTGTGGCTCCTCTCAGTGGTAGCAGCTTCCCACAAATATGTCCAGCTTTTCCCCTCATGCTGACTTTTTTCTTTGAGAAAATCAAACTTGTCAGCATGAGTGATTTTTTTTTCTCTCTATAGGATGAGCACTGACAAGATGAATATCTGAACCTTCTAATTGTTCCTCTTCCCAGGCTTCATCACGGGCATCATAGCAGACAGCCCTCTCTGGCCTTTTAAGAAGAATTGTGCAATTACTAAAAACAAAAGACCCATCGTCTATTTTGAAAAAGCAACTGATCTTAGATGATGTGATTTTGGGGTCCTTTAGTCTAAAAATATTAAAGATTTTTCTTAAATTGCCCTCCAAATCTGTGACTTGCTGAAAGTAATATCAGTAGGACCAGGCTTGGTAGAATGTGCCTCTAACCCAGAACTCAAAGCTGCAGCTGAAAGACCTGGCATTCAGCACCCACCTGCCTCATTTAACAAGAGTCAAAGGAAGGGGGGGGTGAACACACACGTGAATAAATAAATAGGCAGTCTTTTTTTTTTCAAAAGCAAAGGAGGGATTCACCTGCAAAGTATCTCTAAAACACAAGCCAAAACAAATCTCAGTAAACTTGTGTAGGCCCAGTTTCCACAGCACATGAACCAAATTGACCTTCAGTTACTTAGCATAAGATTGCATTATCATAATTATTTATAAAGATAACTTAGATTCATTATGGACATTTATAGCCTGAAGGCAGAAACACTGGATTTTCTTTACATTTTATCAAAAAGTAGACATAAATGACATCAAAAGGAGCTATCATCTGGACGAATACATGGCCCAGAACAAACGGCACCCTTATTATTAATATTTAGTTCAGATTTTGCCCTCTGACACAATCTCACCTTCCTATGATTGTTTGACTTCCTTTGTCTAACATCAGATTTTGATAATTCCCCCAACATTGGAAAAAGCATTTCCATGTTTGCTGCTTAGAGTCGAAAATGACAAACTGACCCAGGCTTATAGTCAGTGCTGGATGTCATCTGGTATCTTTGGCACCATTGTGGAGCTGTGGGTGGTGTTCAATGGCACACTAGTTCCTGAATTTAGGGGTGTTCCCAGAAAAGTAGAAAGTGCAACACGGCTCATGTCAAGTGCTGGGCCTTCCCCCTGAGATCGTGTCCAGTGTTCATCTGGAGTGATACAGTAGTGGAGGATTCATTTTATCACTCGTTCTCTGTGGCTTCAGCAGTAGAGTTACATGGAGGCTTGTAGGGACACCAAAGACTTGGAAAGTGTGAATTGTGTTTCACTACATAGTTCTTGCCTTTCTAACCTTTCCCCAGCTCTTAAAGTATACATTCTAACATTGTCACTTGATTCCCCATCAGAAGGGACCCTTGCCAATGAGCTCTGTAGATGCCCAGGACACTCTAACAGAGTCCCAGGAGTCAGGCTTTCTCAGACCAGAGAATAGAGAGTTAAAAGGAAAAATAATGAAATCAGATATATAATGTAACTGTACAGTTGAAACTCTTGAACAAGAACCCTTTGAATAAAATAACAAGCTGACTATCTTAATTGTGACTCATATCTAACACATTAACTTTGCTACCGAGGCTCCAGAGCCAGGGCATAGACAAGGATGGCCAAGTTAACTAAAATCTTTCTCTTAGTTGGAAGGCAAGCTTTCTACAGCATAAAGATAAAGAATTCTGCAGAAAGAAATGTCTTACTAAAATTGTGAAGGGGTGTTTTACAGGGGAGCACTAATATTACCATCTCTCATTATGTTAGCTAAGAGCAGAAAGTAAATACAAATTTGGAAAGGTAAAAGTCACAAACCATTCAACACTATAAAATATGAATATTTGAGATATTTAACTAAATCATACATTTATGACCAGCCACATGTAGACATACACATATACACACATGATGCATTTAACATTTCATTATCTTATATGTTTATCCTGTAATGTCTTCTTAATATTTTTCTCATTAGAAAACATCATATGTGTTAATCATGCATACATGTGCATATCAATTATTTCTTTAAAGTATCTATGTGGTCCTTTTATGTTGGTAGAGAATTGAGTGGTAAGAATTCTTAATGGAAACTCATATTATAACCTATTTATTTCCACACATGCTTCAGATGAAATATCATCATAAGAGTTGGGGGAGACTTTTTAAAAAAAAAAACAATCCCAAGTGTTACTGATTGGCTATTATAATGCAATTGTGTATTCAAAAACTTTATACTATTTTTAAGCAAAAGGTAACCTTCAGTAAAATATGGATTAAATCCTTTTCTATTGGGTCCTCTTAATGTTACTGATTAAAGGGTAAAAGAGAAAACACAAAGGAAAGGCAATGTATGGTGTTGTAACCCTGTGAAGTTTAATATACATTGGCACCTGGTCTTGGGGTGGAATAACAAGCAAGTTAGCATTCCTTTCTCTAATTCGATTTCGTTGTAGTCATATTTATAATGCACACTTCTGCAAAGAATGCCTTTTCTTTTGCTTTCCTGAAGCACCTTTAACAAGCAGCCAGGGAGCCATTGCCTCACCACTTTGTCTAATCACTCAGCTTGATAAAATGTCTAAAGGCTTAATGTTATAATAGCAGAAGAAATTCTAGCCCTTGGTAATCAGAAAGGGCAGATAGTGGAGATGGAAGATCCACTTGTTGTCAGTAGGTGTTCCTTGGGTCAAGGCTTATTCAAGGGCCAGCAGAATGGCTCAGCAGTCAAAGTGCTTTGCTCCGCAAAACTTACAACCTGCACTTGATCCTTAGAAGTCACACAGACAGGGAAGGAGAGAACCACATCCACAAAGGTATCCTTCACACGGGAGCTGTGGTAGGCATGCACACTTGCACAGTGGTGATAAAATAATTAAAAATTAAAGATGATGGAAGCATTTAGGCTACAGAACATGCCTCCCCTCCCACCGTCCTGGTACCACTCCCTCTGGGAAAATGGTTGGCATCTCCATGACTGACCATCTCAACACCCTATGATTGTATTAGTTTCTGTGTCGCTTCCACTGAGAACAGACAACACTTCATGGCAAACATATTTGCTCCTGATTCCTTTATTCTTTTGTAGTAGACTTGAAGAGAATTTCTAAGCAATGCAATCTCTTGTGCTTAAAATAACATAGACAATTCTGTGAAAATGAGAGGGTTTAGCCTGTCTCCAGCGTGCCTACTCAAGGCATACTTAATCTCTGACCTGTGTTCAGGAACAGCTGCGCGGTACCATTAGCCCAACACTGCTAAGCAAGGTCACCCTAACCCAACAATTGTTAGGAACACAGCCTGGACTGAAGCATATTCTTAACCATTTATTTATCTTCTCATCCTTCAGGAATGAAAAGGAAATCTTACTATGCTTTTAAGTGAGCAACACGCTTAACGTGTATGCTTTCCTGGGGCCATCTGTTCATGCGAGTCTCTTGATTATCTAAGCAGGGAGGGCCCTGGGAGAAGACACGTTACTAAAAGCAAGCAGCTCCAGCAAATCCTTGGCCAAAGGAGTCACAAATGCAGTCTTTCCTCCCATACTACTCTCTCATGCCATCTGATAGAGATGCCAATAGGCAGCGGATGGCAGGGAAAGGCCAGTGTCTTAAGAAATTTGCCAAGTGGTCAGACAGTTCCGGAATGGAGAGTTGACCGAGTGGAGTGGTCTCAGCAGACCCATTTCCCCTCCACAGTCTGCTGTCTATATTTCTCTTTGCAGAAACTGTTCGGCGGGGACATTTGCCTTGTTTTTCTCTGACCCTGTGACTGAGTGCATGTTGCTCTGTAATGCATTGTGATTTTCCTGTGTAGGGTGAGCCAGGGCTGCCTGGACTACCTGGACTCCCGGGGATCAAGGTAAATACTCCACTGACCAACTTCATGGAACTATGATTATCCCGCATTGGAGGAAAATGAGGGGGTGGGGGGAGTGAACACTGGTCATTAACTATTCTGAATTTTTCTCAATTGATTAGTTCATTTTTTAAATTCAAATTGCACACGGGTGTTTAAAGTTGGTCATTGCCATCCAGGTTGTATAGCTCACCGCTGTCCTTATCATGCCCCTTAGATAAAGCTAAATGGCATTTCAAGTAAAATCATGCAAAGTTTTTAAAAGTTTAGAAAGAATGTCTCTTAACTTTTGACTTCATTCCTAAGGTCCTATCAAATTTTGACCAGAATTCATCTTAGCACGCCTGTAAATCGCACACTTGGGCAATCATGTTTGTGGTTCACCATTATCATAGCCCCTCGAAGATCCCTTCCTGTCAGTCAGTCCCACTGAAAAACTGAAACCACATTGCTAAAATGTTCTGACCTACTACAAACACTTTCTACACAAACTCTGTATACACCTTTTGAAATAATTGCTTACGGTTTAGGATTAAAACATTGTTTTAAGATTTAAAGATTCTTAAGCCACTTAAATTTTTTTTAAAAAAGGCTTTTCCCATGGCAGTAACAAGACTTAATGCTCTATTTTCTTAGCTATAGTTATTTCTTGAGAATAAACTTCATATATATCCCAGAAGAGACAGAATAGCAATCAAGTATATCTTCTGTTCTAAAAATAGTATATTAATAATAATATAATGTTGTGGGGTGTTAATGAGAACCTGGTGGCATTACAAGTCATAATGAAGATGTTTGAGACAAAGGACAATGGAAGGACACGAAAGTCCCTACAGCAAGAACTCAAGCAAGCTTTTCAGGGTGCAGGCTCAGCTCAGGAGAGCCTCAGTGCTATGAAACTGACGTGTCCCTTCTCCTGAGCTTTAGACACTCTCTTGATGAAAAGGAAGAAGAATGAAAGCATTATTTTCCCCAAGCGCAATACAGATAAACACACGCATAGACATAAATGCTTTCAGTAGCTACTGTATTTGTGACCCTGGTCTTACTTCAGTGTTGTATGTCTATGTTGACTCTACGTCATTACTGACTCTTGGCCTTTTCCTATGATCTTTTCAGCCACCCATGACCCATTCAGAAGGCCATGAGTTCTCAGGTTGGGAGGGTTAATTGTAAATCGCCACTTCTAGGAAATGCTTAAGTTCCCACAGCCTGAGAAGTGCTAGAAATCCTTTGTTGAGGTGGTGGGGCTCTGGTACTGCCCTCCTGTGCCTGACTGGTGACTGAGCTGAGAAACTGCCAGTTGATAAAAATCCTTCCTCATTCACTAGAGATGTTTCTCTAGGTCATCTCAGTGCCTTGCTTGGGTCACCATCTGGGGCTGAAGACAAAATCATGAGCTCTGGTTATAGCGTAATAAGTTTTGTCTTCTCACTTGAATTCAAATGAAAGATAAGCTTTCCTTACACTATAATAAGTGCTAATAATAAATAAATAATAATCAGTAAATAATTTGGGGAAAACAGTTTAAGACCACTTTAAGGTATTCATTGTATATTCACAAATAGACTTAAAATTTTATAATATTTGATGGCCCTACATTGACTTGAGACGTACCTTACCCATTTAATTTGCTTCGTTTCTGCTAAGGTGGCAAACGACAGGATGGGTTGATTCTCATTTCATAGTTTAAGTTGCAGCCAGGATTTAAAAATTGAAACCCTTCTGTGTGACCTACAGGACGTGAGGTACCGAAAGCATCAGTCATGATCTTAGCCTGTGTGTATGTTTATGCTTTGGAGATATTTCCTGTTGCTACTCATGTCCTCCTTATCTGCCACGACCGCAGAGCGTGTGCGCATGCCGGCCGTCATGTCTAGGACACGGAGGAAAGCAGTCATTACATACCAGAGAAGCTTTGCCTCGCCACCTGTTGCTCTTGGGGAATAGTTGGAAACTTAATGAGCATCCCCACATGCCTTCCCTGGCTCTCAGGAAATGAACCAAGTGCCTAAACCCTGACAGCGGACTCATCTGTCTCTCACCTGAGCGGCCCACTCTGAGGACGTTGCTATTACTGTAGGCATGCATAGGGGAAGTCGCTGAGACCCGGCCTGACTTCATCTCAAGCTGCTCTTAGGCTTCCTGCACTATTTGAAAGTCCTCTTGCCATGTGGAAGGCATTTGGAATTCCTATTTCATGCATTCATGGGTCATATAGTGTCAAGATGTTCAGCTGGGAAAATTAAATTATGTACAATGTACCATGCAGAAGTTGATCTTCTGGGGCAAGATTTGAGCTTAGAAAATTAGTTTTATGAACAAGCTTTCAAAAATGTTGTTTTTTTCCCCCTTCAAGTATCTTAGAGGATAGTAAGCATTGTGCCTACCTTTTCTGATATCAGATAAAAACAGAAAATTCTAGGTTATTATTTTTGAAAATCTTATTCTAGATACCTACTTTGAAAAATATACATATATTTTGACCCATTCTTGTGGTTCTATTTCCCTCATAAATAAGCAGTTTTGACCAACGACCCTAGAACAAACCAAACCATAGCTTTGCTGGTCCTGTGACCCAGGGCAAGATTTGGAATCTCTCTGTGCTTTGGTTTTCTCATGAGAACCAACAGTGACCAGAGCCCAGAGTTCTACTGTGAGACTGAAATGAACAAATGTGTGCATAGCTCTTGAAACCTCCCCCAGCGTATAGCGAATGACTGCTGTTACTGCTTCTCGTGGGTCAGCTCAGAATACTGGAAGCTTTGCTTATGCACCCGCTCAAGGTTGTCTTTCCTCGTGTAAGTAATCTTAACCTGGAGAAAATGCATCGAGCCATGCTTTACATAGATACAAATTATGGATCCCTCTTTAAAGGGATGAATGAATAAGACCGTTAAAAGCAATAAGGGCACCCACTTTCCCTACTTCCTGAGTGTATTCCAGGAGCAAAAGGCAAGGCTGCACATGGCTTGAAGATGAGAGAAGCCGTGTGAGCCGCCTTCTTCCTGACTGTTCACGGGAAAAGCCAGAGGACAGCTTGACACATCCCATAGTGATGTCTGTCCTTCCAGGCCTGGGTTATTTCACTCAGAATAAGGTTTCCTGTTCCAGCCATTTATCTGAGAATTTCATAATTTTTTAAAGTATTCATTTATTATTACACAGTCTGCAAGCCAGAAGAGGGAGCCAGATCAGATGGTTGTGAGCCACCATATGGTTGCTGGGAATTGAACTCAGGGCCTCTGGAAGAGCAGTCAGTGCTCTTAACCTCTGAGCCATCTCTCCAGCCCCATAAATTTTTTTTTATGACTGAATAATTTTCCACTGTGTGGATGTACCACATTACTGTTATCCATCATCTCTTTTTTTTTTNTTTGGTTTTTCGAGACAGGGTTTCTCTGTGGCTTTGGAGCCTGTCCTGGCACTAGCTCTGTAGACCAGGCTGGTCTCGAACTCACAGAGATCTGCCTGCCTCTGCCTCCCGAGTGCTGGGATTAAAGCCGTGCGCCACCATCGCCCGGCATCCATCATCTCTTAATGGACATCTAGACTGTGTCGAATTTCTAGCTCTTGTGGATGGAGAAGCAGGGAACATGGATGAGCAAGCATCTCCATAGTGGACTCTAGAGTCCTTTGGATAAATGCCTAAAAGTGGTATGGCTGCATTATGTAGTAAATTTGCTTCCAGCTTTTTGAGCAATGTCCACACTGACTTCCACGGTGGCTGCACCCGTTTGTGTTCCCACCAACAATGAGTCATTGGCATGGACATAGGGAAGGGGAGACACTATTTGTCACCACTTGTTTTCCTTTTATCTTGTCCATTCTGACTAGGGTAAGATGAAATCTCAAAGTTGCTTTAATTTGTTTTTTTATGTAGCTAAGGATGTTGAACAGCTTCAAAACTAAGTCTCCTATTTATCTTTCTTCTTTTGAGAATTCTGTATAGTTCCATGCAATTGGGTTGTTTGTTCTCTTGATGTTCAGGAGTTCTGTTTTACTTCTTTGTTATAGATACTAACCATCTGATAGATGTACAGGTGGTCAGGATTTTTCTTCATTCTTTAGGCTGCCTCTTTTAAGTAATGGTATCTCTTGCCATAAAGTCGCTTTTGAGTTTCATGTGGTCCCATGTTGCCTGTTGGTCTTAATGCCTGCACCATTATCATCATGTTCAGAAATTCCTTTCCTGTGACTACTTTCTACAGGGTACCATATCTTATCCTGGAGTCCTTGATCCATTTGGAGTTTAGTTTTGTGAGAGTGAGAAATAAGTCTCATTCTTCTATGTCTTGCTGTCCAGTTTGAGTGGCAGTATTTGCCCATCTGTTGAAAATGTCTCTTCTGCAATGTGTATTATTGGCCTCTTTGTCAAACAAAAAAGCAGGTGACTGTAGGAGTCTGGGTTTATCTGTGGGTCCTCAATTCTATTCTATTAACCAATATGTTTGTTTTGATGACAATACCATGCTGTTTATATGACTGTAACTCTATAGTAAAACTTCAAATCCGGGGTGCTGATATAGCAGCAGTATTTTTTAATTGTTTAGTTTTTTTTTTAATTTGACTATCCTGGGTCTTTTATATTTCCATATGAAATTTAAGATGTTTTTCAGTATCTATAAGGAATTACATTGGAATTTTGCTGCGCGTTTCATTGAGTCTGTAGATTGCTTTTTGTAGGAGTTTGATAATATTAACCCAAACAATCTATGAGTGTGGAAGGCCTTTCCATCTTCTGGTATCTTCTTCTCTTTCTTTTTCAGGGTCTTAAAGTTTTCATTGTATGGGTCTAAATTTTCCTTGACTAAACTTATTCCAAGATACTTTGAGGCTCTTGGGAATGGTATTGTTTTCCTAATTTCCTTCTCAGTGTTTGGCATTTGTACATAGGAAGACTGATTTTTTTTTTGTATATTGTATATAGGAAGGCTGCTAACTTTTTGCAAGTTGATTTTGTATCCTGCTACTGTTCTGAACTTTCTAGTCATTGTTGCCTAACTCAAGGTACTTTTCTCAGATTTTCAGTGCTTGCTTTTCTCTTTCAAAGGATAGAAGTAGCTAATTTTACCAAATTAAGTAGTCAAGTTTCAGCTGGGCAATGGTGGCGCATGCCTTTAATCCCAGCAATTGGGAGGCAGAGGCAGGTGGATCTCTGTGGCCAGTCTGGTCTACAGAGTAAGTTCCAGAAAAGGCTCCAAAGCTATACAGAGAAACCCTGTCTCAAAAACAATATATCTCCCCCCTCCTGCTTTGTTTTAACAGCAGATATTACATCAAATCATAAAAAGCTATTTAAGTAGCAACTATATTTTAATGGTTTCCCATTCCTTGAAGTTTAATGGTTTTACTCTGGTTTCCTCATTAGTGAAAATTTGACATTCAGATCAAGAAGTTAAAGAGGCAGAGGGGTCTAAGGTGGTAACCATCTCTCCCACATCATACGAAATCCCCTCGGACCTGAAATCTGTTTTCACAGGAGGCAGAGACATTCACTTGACACTCACAGGATTGAGTGCTGGCCTGGTCCTCTGTGAGTAACAAATGCGTCTTCAGAATCTGACCAAGATGAATGCAGCTCAGTCCTCAGAAACATTGGCATATCTCAAAACTGGCAGAGATAGATGGAGGGATGTAAAACTAATTCATAGAGGAAAGGAAATAAGACAGCCTTAGCAGACAGGTCACACTGTGTTATTATTGCTTGTAACTACTTCCTGCTGGCACAGACTACCTGAAGACACGGGTAACTTGAGTCCAATTAGGAAACTCATGCAAAAGAAATCAGAGAGTTTTAGCAACCATAATGAAACTTCCAACAATTACACTGCATATCCTTCATGATGCAATTCTGTTAATACAAAAAAAAATCTCCAAAAGACAGGTTTTTCTGGGTTTTAAATAAATTCACTATTTAGTTTATTTTCAACAGAACACTTAAAATGTAGTAATTTATACTCAGATTGTATCCTTATGAGTAATAAGTGTTTTAAGGACGAACTCTCTCATTTTTTTTGTCTCCTCAATAATTTTAGAAATCAGTCATTACCCAAACTGACTGCCTCGCAGTTCCTAGTATAATAAATGTTACTGCTGTAATTCTCAAAAGCAGGTATCATGCTGACTTGAATTCTAATTAGCCTCTAAGCAAAAAGAACAGTGCATGGCTAATGCATTCTGTGTCAAGACACATTAATCAACATTTTGGGGTGCTTTTAGCACCCAAGCAAACCAGCACATATTTTTTTCAAACTCCATTGTACTATTTTTGAGGACAATGAAAATCAGATCTGTTCAGAAACAATAAAAATCACAGAAAACAAGACTCAAGAGAGTTTTTGGGTTAATAAAATTATGCAATTTACTTCTTCAATTGATAATGACTTATAAAAATAAAACCAGAAAAAAATAAATAAAAATAAAACCAGTAATAATAAATAAAAAGTCAGATATTTTTATACAAGCAAGAACTAATCAGTTAGATGTTTCTGACCACCATTTTGCCTAATGGATAGAATGTTCTGGAAGTCTATCTAGAAACATCTGGAAAGCCATCTCTGTGAAAATGAAACTGCCTCTCTTTTTCTCTCTCTCTCCCTTTCTTCCTTCCCCTTCATTGAACTAGCCACCCTGCTAAGTATGTGCAGGTTCTTCTCGCCTTTTTGAACGCTATCACAGTGACCATTTAGAGTGGAGAGACGGTCTGAAGTATTCCCTTGCTGTGCTTAGAACATCAGTTAAGATTTTATTAGAGAATCCCAAGACCTCATGAAATGCCTGGCTTAGACTATATCTGGATTCACATCTACACGTCTATATTCAGTCTTCTCGATTTGTTGTTCGGGGTGAAGTATTTAACACATCTCAGATAGGAACAACTTATTCAGATAGAGTTGCTAGTTTTCTTTGCTATAACCTCCAAGCTCCATGAGTGGCTATGTCTTAAAGGTTAGACTCCACACAAAATCTGAAGCTGTTTACACTCAGATGCTTCAGGCCAACAGCAAACAAAATGTCTTTGCCCATTGTGAAACCATTCAACCTTTAAGCTCTCTTCAGACCATCTGGGAGAGCCAGGGTTTCTCCCAGAAAAACTTTTGGAACAAGTATAAGCTCCGGAGATAAGTAAGCTTAAAAGGCTTGAGAAGGTGGCGACACATGCCTTTAATCCCAGCTCCTGGGAGACAGAGGCAGGTGGGTCTCTAAGTTTGAGCACAGCCTGGTTGACAAAGTAAGTTCTGGGACAGCCAGGGGCTACACAGTGAAACCCAGTCTCGAAAGACTAAAAGGATAAAGGGGGGGGGGAAGGAGGGAGGGCGAGAGGGAGGGAGGGAGGGAGAAGAGACCAATAAGTGTCCCCACCCCACTGCACCACAAGATAGGGAAGATGGAGCAATGGCCCTAAAGTGACGGCACTCTCAGAGGAAGTAGACACAAACCTGAGACCCTATAGCTAGCTCTACAGAGTTTGCCTTGAGCGTATTGGAACACGGGGTGTGTCGAGATGTACGCATGTGACTGATACTCTCTTGGAGTGGTGGTCATGAGCGACTAATCGTACTAGTCTTTTGAAGCCTATAAGCACAACAGTGCTAAAAATCAAGTCTGCAGCTTAATTTATCTCTTGAAATTAAATAATTTTGCCCTGAATCATCTGTTAAAGGAAATTTAATGTGTCTTTAGAAGGAAGATTAAAAATGCCTGTATCTAACTGCTGAGATAACAAAGACTTGTTTGTGGAAAATGCAACCGCATGCTTGACTTTTTCGTAAACTAAACACTAACAAATACGGACTGTATTTCTGTGTCTTCTTCCCTTTCTGCTTTGTATTATTAGTATGCTTTAATGAAGCTTCCACTTGACTGGCTAAAGAGATCATTTTATCTTTGCTTGAAAATGTATAAAGAGTTCAAGTTGAAAAGCAAATATTCAACCTCTACATTACAATTTGGGGACATCCGCCATGACCAATGACTTTAACATTCATTCCTATTCTTGAAAGTGGAGAGAAGACACCTATTCATGTTAAATATTACCCTATTAGATTAAATGTTTTAGTTATAAATGTATCCCTTGTAGTGATTTCTTTATGAAATAACATGTCAAATTACTTTGCTAAAGGTAGAATTATAAATGATTTCTCTGAATTGAGTTCAGATGTTTATTTTGAAATATTGAGGTATGACACCTTTGCCAGGTTTTCCCTTCCAGGAGGAGGTAGACTGTGGTGCCCAGTAGAATAGGGACAATAGGAAATAACCTTACCCTCAACCTCAGTTCTGAGACCCAGCCCTCACTTCTCTACCCTCGGGATGCCCAAGTCAGACTAAATCTGAGTGGTGTGTCACCTGAAATGTTTCATGGTGATGACATCCTTCTATTCTCAATTCCCAGCAGCTAACTTTTATATAACATATTTGAAACATAGATGCAGACATTTTAACATGCCTGCAGAACACTCTCTCTACGCCTTCCTGCTTAGCACCATGAAACAGCTTCATGACAGCTGATTTGGAGGGAAATCAATTGAACTGATACTTCTTCCAGAAATAGTCCAAGCATAAACAAAACAGGAAGCATTAGAACAGAACCATTGTGAGGTTTGCTTTAAATTTTTGATATGTATTTTACATTTTAAATTGTTAGACCCGTATGTCTTGTTTCCCTTGACTAGTTAAAAAGAAAATAAAACTTGGTGGATAATCAAGATGATGTAAACCCTGGTTCAGGTAGTTTCTTTTCAAACCCCAGGCCTCCACCTTTCTGGTACAGATGCCAACTGAGTTTGGGCCGTAGTTCAGTCCTGTTCTCATGCCATCCTTCCTAGTCTCAGATGTCACAGGTCTTCAGGACCAACCTTGCGAGACTAAATTCATTTCAGTGGCCTGTAGCAAATTCTCAGGGGACTGGGATTATCTCTACTTTTTCTGAAATGGCTATGGATTTAGGACTTTTGGGGACAAGCTTTTTAAGAATTGGCTAGATTGAGTCACATCCACCCAAACACAACTGGTCTTTGTGTGTTAAATGACAAGACGCACCAGACGGATGAGGGAAGGAGTTATTAAAAGACATTTGCATCACTTTCTAAAGCATCTCTGGAGCGCCACTCACTCCATTGATGACCATAGTGTAGTGAGTAGTTTGAGCTCAGCTGGGACACTTGTACTTAATCAAGGAAGTAGAACCACAGTAGGAAAAACTGAGCGTGCTGTCAAATGAATAACGCCTTGTATGCCCATCTTTTTAAAGGGAGAACCAGGCTTCATTGGTCCTCAAGGAGAGCCGGGCTTACCAGGGTTACCAGGAACAAAAGTAAGTAAACCTTTATGCCCCTCCTTTTTCTCTGACATTTGTGCCATCCCTGCCCAAAAAAAAAAAAAAAAAAAAAAAAAGTGGGAGGTCTGTTTCACTGTTTGGACGGCCATATATTTTTGCCTTAGAACCAAGGCAGCCTGATCCAACTATTAATGACATGCCATTGGAAATTATATCCAGGAAGCTCTAGGCACATCCGATGGTGGGTGGAATATAGTCATCGTCCAAGTTTGTCCTCTGGACTCCTCAGTAAGTGTGATGGCACTGGCTTCCCAGTGACATGGAAAGGTGGCTGAGAGAAAGGAGGGCCAGAGCTCCCCAACTTCTTCTTCCCTTCCTCATCCATTCCAGGATGCTCTTGCTAATTGGACGTTAATCCCATCCCCGCGGATGTCACAGAGATTTCTAAATGCTTCACTCCAAAAAATATCTGCCCCAAATGATGTGTGCAGAAGTATTCTGTAATGAAAACCATCTTTGAGTGTTCTATTTGGCAACCTTAAAGTGGACCCTGAAAGCAAGGGCTGTGTGTTGCCACGCAAAAAGAATACAGGGCTGCAGACAGAGAGGCAGGTCCAGAGTTCACCCTTCATCTGCCCAATAAGACATAAACGGTGATGGGAGTTGTGCTCAGGACAGACTTGTAAATCAAAGGTACAAAGTGGCATCCACTTATACTCACTTATTTTTAAACCATAGCAGACTCGGCCTCGGTGAGTTCTGGGTTCAGCAGAAATAAGCCAGGGGTGATTTCCAATAGTTAGAGAAATATGTCACGGTCTATTCAGATGGTCTAAGGCCTCATTTCTGCTCTGGTCAAGTGAAAATAACTCTAATTTTAGCAGCGGAAACTATCCATTGCCTAAGAGGACTGGAACTCGTAGGATTATGAAAAATTATTTTCCAAAGAAATCCCATTTTCACATAATAAGCTATCAAGCCCATTAAGAAATTCTGTTTTAGCCTGAACAAATTCACACAAGATAGACCTTTCTGAGAGGGAAAGACAGAGACAGAGAGGAAAGGAATTGTCTGTTGACGTGAAAACTGTTATACTGATTGAGTTTGAAGCCTTAAAGCCAGAAGAGAGGAGAAGGTGGCCAGGCAGAGGAGTATATCCACCACCACACAGGGAGGGTGAGTCCCAGCGGGGGGAGCCATTGGGAACCTCATTTGTAGGAGATTTTTGCTTAGACAGGGGAAGAAAAAGAAACCCAGCTGGTAGAGATTTTTATCCCTAAATTTTTTTTTTTTTTTGAGACAGGGTTTCTCTGTAGCTTTAGGGCCTGTCCTGGAACTAGCTCTTGTAGACCAGGCTGGCCTCAAAACTCACAGATATCCTCCTGCCTCTGCCTCCCAAGTGCTAGGATTAAAGGCCTGTGCCACCACCACCTGGCCCTAAATACTTTAATAGCAAACTGTTAAACTATTCCATAGTTTCAAAGAGGGAGACTCAGACCAGTCATAGAGCCACAAAGTTGAGAGTAATGGCTGTTATGAAGGCCTCAGCATGATTCTAGAGAACAAATACTTTACTCTAGATCTCCAGGAGAAGGAGGAGATGTGATGTCCCTGTGACTTTTCTACAAGCAAGCTTATGCACAGAAAGTCAGTGTTAGCAATATCCTAAACTTGTTAGCTGGATTGCCTATCTCAGCAAGACTTGTGTCCTAAGGGGAAATTTCCAATTTGAAGATCTATTTTGACCCAACAATGGTCTTTTACCATTTTTTGTAGATGGTCTGAATTTGTACCCCTAACAAGAGATCTGAAAAATAAAATGGTATGTCTAACTCGCAGGGCAGTGAAGACATGTCCTAAGAAAGGAGACTAATGGCATCTAAGAATCTGTAGTGGAAATGGCGTGTTCCAAGGGCCTCTCCTGGTGCCTTGTCAGAGCTACATCTGCCTAGAAAAATTGAATTTCAGTCAGAGTACAAAAAGAAAAAAGAAAAAAAAAGTATGTCCGAGTATAATATATGGAACTTCCCCATTGTGCTATGTATTTTGCTGGAACTTCTTAAAATTTGCTACAGAATGTAAATAGATGTCCATTCAATAATAAAAAAAGGAGGAGGAGCAGTAAGAGTAGAAAGAAGCCACATGTATATGTCATATATATGCCATATGACATGTGTGTATCTACATACACGTGTGTGTGTGTGTGTGTCAGTGTATATGGCTAAGGAAGGGGTTTATTAGGAGAGTTGGTTCATGTGATTACGGAAGCAAAGATGTCCCACAGAAACCAACTATATACAAGCTAAAAGCATCCTAGTAGTTTGGCTCAGTCCAGGCCTGATGGCTTCAGAATCATGGAAGCTGGTACTGAAACTCCTTGGCAGAAAATAAAGGTCTGAGATGCAGTGCCTTGTGCTGGTCTTGCCATAGAGACAGAAGACTGGCTGTGTGGTGTTCTGAGCAGCAAAAGGTGCTCCAGAGGGACAGAGACAGCTTGCCTGTCCTCTGCCTTTTGTCCTGTCCCTCCCGAAGCCATGTGGGCAACAATCACATATATGAAGAGTAAACTTTCCCCTGTCTGTCTGTCGACTCAGTCACTGACCATTATGCAATCTCCTCTGGACACACTATGATTTAAAAAAAAAAAAAAAAAAACAGTAAGAATGCTTCCACAGTCCCATAGGTGCTTCTTAGCCCAGCCAAGATGGCACCAAAATTAATAATCTTAGAGTGTTTTGTGTATGCAATGGGGTCATTCATGTTCAGAGCTGAACACAGCGCCAGCATGCTGTGAACAAGCACTGGCTCTCTGTTTACCTTGGTTTTGTTGAACTCCGGTATTCCTCTCCCGGGAACAGGCATGGGGAGGCTACTATTTACCTGTTTTGCAATTTGTAACAGGGTGAACGTGGAGAGGCAGGGCCTCCTGGAAGAGGTGAACGCGGAGACCCGGGAGCCCCAGGACCAAAGGTCAGTTATTCTTACGTTGGAGGAGAGCTGTCTTTAGTTTGGGGGTGCATACCTCTTGCTGTAGAATATGCAACTAACTCTTCAACAGATGCTAAAACGACCCAAATCACAAGCACCTCATTGAAATGCACACTGATGCTAGTGATTTTGCAGTTCAACTCTTCTTGTTTACTCTGTGCAGCTCAGTGAAGAAATTTAATAGCATATCTGAACGTAAAGGGAGAGATGCTGTCATATAACACGCCATGGCTCAATGTGTGTTACAGCCTGCTGAGAAAAACCCTCACTGCCCAGTGATGTGTTCATTTCCCTGGTAACTTGATGGAGTGTGACACCTTGGAAATATTAGTGCTAAGGATATATTTGCCTATGCAAGTTCTCTTTCCCTAAACATTATACAAACTAACGTGGTCATACTCTAATAACCGGCCCCTCTCGGAGACGGGGTGATGTAAGCTCTGATGAGAAAGAACTCTCAGCACAGAAGCACTGTGGAGACTCAGAGTCACTTACAGAGCTCTCCCCAGACACTGTTGGAAAAGAGTCTTCGGAGTCATAACGGGTAGAGGTTGACAGAGACCGTGAGCTCCTGCTACAGCGATGCGTATTCTCTGTGTTAAAATAACCAGCGTTATACGGCACTGTGCCGGGCTGTAAAGATAAAGTGTGTCCGTGATCCTCTTTGTTCTGAACCACTGCTCTTATCTTCCCTGTCGTTCTCTTTCTCATCTTCATACTCTCTTACAATAGGGGAAACAAGGTGAATCAGGAGCTAGAGGCCCAAAGGGGTCAAAGGTCAGTAACCAATAACCATTTTGATGTGACTTCGGGACTTCGGGCCTTCAAGATATGTGTCTTTTGCCTATTCCTCAAAGAGTTCTGTCGTAGATGAAGCCTTTCCTTCAGGGCTTACATTTGGTTTGTCCCTGTGATTATAACTCAAGACACTTGGCTTATTTGTCCTTGTTGTCTGCTCTTATCCTTAAGACTATCCCTTTTTAACTGTGTGTGTGTGTGTGCCACAACACACAATATGGAGGTCAGAGGGTAATTTGTGGGAGTTGGTTCTCTCTGTCCACCATTTGGGTTCCGAGATGTAACTCGAGTATTCAGGCGTGGTGGCCTCTGCCTGCTGAGCCTTTCGCCAGCCACCCTCAGACTATTCTGTAAGAGGCAGTGTATGTCCTGTTTCCTGAGATTAGCTTTTTTGGGGAAAGAGAGTTTATGAATTGTTTGCTTTTACTTTTCATTCCCTATTTTTGTTGACCAATGTTCCTGTTATACTTTGGTTCGTCACGTGACTCCATTCAGAGAGTTAGAACAATACCCTAGGAGTAGAACATGGCTCAGTGAGTAAAACTTCTTACTGTAGAAGGTGAGGCTCTGAGTTTGAGCCCCCAGAACCCACAAAGTAACTCAAGTTATCTGTGATCCCTGCACTCCTGCAAGAAGATAGGAGAAGATATAAGGGATTCCCCAGAAGCTAGCCTGGCTTACACAGTGGAAAACACAAAGAGACCCCGTTTCACATTAAGTGAAAGACAGGCACCGACACCTGAGGGTGTACTCTTATTCCTGCACACTCACTGGGACACAATGCAGACACATGTACACACACACACACACACACACACATTAAATAATAACCAAAATAAAATGTCAGCACCAATAGCAGTTGTCCCTTCGTCATGACGCTTATACTATCTGAAATAGCATATATACTGTCACGGAAAATGCCATTAGCTGATAGCATGGAAGAGTATAAAATGGGACTAGAGATTAGAGGCTGTTAATTCCCTATCCATGGAGAAGTTAATTGTTATGGCCCATGTCACTAGTATAACCTGCATGAGAAAAATTACAGCCTCCCTTTCTCCTTATCCTCACTGGTCCTTATCAGTTTTATGTAACTATGTAGAGAGACAGATATTGTGAGCTCTGTATCAAAAGGGGGCTCTAGTTTCAGGCTGATTTAAAGAACCTTGAGATATACACAGATTTAAGTACATTCTTCTCTTGTCATTTTCAACCTCTGATCATTTGAAGAGTGTGTAGTCTATTCTTGGTGTCTCTGTTGGTGGGGTTATGACACCGTCAATAAAACTCCAGAGATGATTTCCTATTGCTTTGAAACCGAAATGGGGAGGAACAGAAGAGAGAAGACAGAGAGGAAAAGGAGAGGGGGAGAGATAAGATAAAGGAAGTCTGGCCAGCCTGGTCTAGCTGACTGCTGTCAACTCACAGAGTGTTAAAGTAGCTACTGGTGACTATTGTCACCAGAGGGGGTCTAGCCTCTGGCTTTACAATCCCATTCTTCCTAAAATGATCTCTCCATTCCTTCCTGTCCCAGTTGTCTCTGTTTCTTCCATGAGGACAGGTGCCACAGTGCCTTGGCCCTTTTCCTTTCATTCACACCCCTTCAAAGGAAAGCAACCCTGCTCACTCTGAAGATAAATATTACTTTGGGTACCCTAGAAGTCACTCACTTTGCTTATGCAAAGCCTGGCCAGAGAGTACATAGCCTGTCTGACTGTTCCAACATAGCCTGTGTTCTGAGGACATTTAACTACCCATCAGCGCCATCTTTAGGAGGCATTTCCAGTGGTGGCGGTGGTGGTGGTGATGTCTGCTTCCTATGTCTGCAGTTCGTGTCTAAAGCGCAGCTGTGTGGTACAAATAGCTCGTTAGGTGTGATGGATTCCTACAACAGTGGCCATGCTGATTATTATTTTCTTTTCTCATGGGCAAAGGGTGATCGTGGAGACAAAGGAGACTCTGGAGCTCTGGGACCCCGGGTGAGTATTCCTCTTGTCTAAACTCAAATTTGAGGTCGTGTTGGTGCAGCTGTGAGAGGCATCTGAATGGATGGTGTACAATCAAAGGCATTAGTGGTAGACTGGGATTATTCCCGCTGATAGCCTTCCCCTTGGTCCTTCCCCTTGGTCCTTATTTTTTTTTGTTCAGGCACAGGTTGTATAGATATTCTTACCAAACACCTTTTATTCTGGAAAAAAAAATTAGTATGAAAACCACAGCTACCCAGCTAATAAGACCTCCATTTTTCAGTTAAGGCGCTAGTCTGTGCATTCATACTCTTGAGAAAAGTCAGAGGACTAGGTCATGGAAATTGTGCAGCAGATATAATGGGAGGATAAGAGTCTATACTATGCAGAGGTGTGAGTGTGCTTGTAATCTGGCTTGGGGGAGGTATATTTGTGGGTATATAATATCCTGGTCTTCCATTTCCTCTAGTTTTAGATAAGTTGGGGCACATGGGATAAGATTCTTATGGGGGAAGCCAAGAATTTCCCACAGAACATTGTTCATCATTGCTCTGTTTTCTAAGGGGATGAGGAAGCAACCTACAATATGTAGATGAATAGAGAGCGGTTAGGGGACAGGCGGTGATGGTGCACGCCTTTAATCCCAGCACTCGGAGGCAGAGGCAGAAGGATCTCTGTGAGTTTGAGGCCAACCTGGTCTACAAGTGCTAGTTCCAGGACAGGTTCCCAAAGCTACAGAGAAACCCTGTCTTGAAAAAAAAAAAAAAAAAAAAAGAGAGGTTAGGGGTTGCCTTAATAAATGCAGAAAAAGTCAATAGTATTTTGCAAGACACAAAGATCAACTGGTGTGTTTAGAGTTGGTTTCACATAGACAGAAAGTTAGAAGTAGTCTATCTCCTTTACAATATGGACAAAATTTAAACCGAATTATTATTATTATACATCATATACATTGTAGTAAGGAAATAACAGTCAGGGAGGACTCGAGCTACTCCTCTTTCGCCACCATCTTGTAGACGAGACTAACACCCATGACTTTCCCTTGCTTTGTTTTTTGTCACAGGGTCCACCTGGGCAAAAGGGTGATCCAGGAGCTACTGAGATCATAGACTACAATGGCAACCTCCACGAGGCCTTACAGGCAAGTGACGAGCTTCTGCCCTAAGCCACACAGTGAAGTGTATTACTCTTCTGTTGCAACTTCGGGAAGAAAGAGTTTATTTTAGCTTACGGTTTCAAAACACCAGAGTTCATAATTGCGTCAAGGCATGGCATTCTGACCAGGAAGCTGAGCGCTCACATCTTCCCTTGCAAACACGAAGCGGAGAGCAGACCGGAAGTGGAGTGAGGCTACGCGCCAAGTGCGTACTTCCTCCAGCAAGGCTGCAGCACCCTGCCGCCAAGAGCATCACCAACAGGGGACTAAATGTTCAAATGCCTGAGCCTACGGGGGCGGGGGGAGAGGGGGTTCCAGGGGAGGGGGGGGGTCCCATTCACGCCACCACCACCACCACGGGTCCGTGCATTCATCACTATGCCTTCCTTCTCCATCATTCCCTACTCACGGTCGGAGCTCCAGCCCCGGTTGTCTTTAATTTGTAGGAATTTAAACGGCTGATTTTCTATTTCCCTTATATTTTAAATTCTCCTAAACCCTATCAAGTATAAACACTGTGTTGGTTTAGGCAAATGTTCGCTTCCTTGCTCTATAGGGGACTTTTTACAAAGCTGAGCAGGAGCTACTTGAGTCCAGATTTCCGCTGTCGTTCTCACCAGAAACGGGACCTGGCCAGTTAGTTCTTTCCCTGCCGTGTGCCTCTGTTTCTCCACAGTTGAAATGAAGATACCAGCCGTAGCTACCTCGCCGGTGGTTGATAACAAATGGCTAAAGATAACAACTCATGCTTTGAAGAGTCCTTGGCAAATAGTGGCCTTCTCTGTGGTCGTATGTTTCAACTTGTTTCTTTTCATTCCGTGAAAACTAGTTCACAAAACAGTCCATGCGGCTTGCCCTGTGACTCTCCCTTCTTAGCCATCCTTTCCATGTTTATGCACGTGCGTTATAGTATCTGTCGTCACCCAGTGGTGACCATGATAATCATCACCCTTGACTTTCCTGTCACATATACCAAATTGTTTTCCTTTAAAAAAAAAATCTTTATGCTTTAACCTGGCCTTCTGCTCTGATTTCTTTCATTCTTTCCCTCTAGTGAAGTCATTTTATTTTGGTATTTCACACTTTTATGCATCCTCACTTTTTCTTTTTTGCTAGCCTAAACTCTCTGATCTTCCTTAGGTAGACCGGTTACTCCTTCTGTGTTGTAACAAGTTTCCTGACAGTCTTGCCATTTCTGAGGTCTAGCTTGTGTATGGCTCCAGCTTTTTGGAAGAGTTCCTCCATGGCCACATGTTTTCTTACTGATTTCCACTAATACACCTGCTTCTACTGGTACTTTTCCCACCTACTAGCTGACATATTACTAACTAACTGCTACAGACTGATGATGCCACGTTTCCCCCTATTGCTCGAGACAGAAGGTTAGGAGCATCTCACGACTGTTCTTAGTCCCTCTTACAGTGTCATGCCAGGAGCTTTCTCAAAACACATCTCAACACTGCTCATTCTGTCCACTCCCAAATATACATCCACATCCTGGTGATTTCCTGTCTAATCCTGTACCGGTCCTGTGGCCAATGCTGCCTCCCTGGTGTCTTCTGGCCCCTCTAATCTAACCAATGTACATCTCTAAGGCTGATTTTTCATAAGCTATCATTACTTTGATTGCTCTGGTTTCCTCAAATCTCTCCAAGAGTACTTGTTGCCTACTCAATCAAGACCAAACTCCTCCATCTGTCGTCAGTTAAGGCTCCCTAGCACTATCTTTTCTGCCAGGATACTTTTTGTATTTCCTATGAAATAGTCCTTTCTATCATATCTTTACAAATCTTCTCTGCCTAGGATCATCCTATTGTTTTTCCTTTCTTTTGTTCATTGAATCTGATCCATAAACTTACTGCTGTCACCAGCTGACTTCTTCCTCAAAATCAGGGGCCAATAGTGTGACATGTGATTTCTCTCTAATCTCATAATTAGTTTTAGTTTTCCATTACCATATTGTACATTTCTTGGTAACAGAAAATATGTCTTATGTTTGTGTTGCCTGGACTTGTGAATGTGCAATGAACAGTTAGCATTTAGTGGTTGGATGAATGATTGTTCTTTCTATGTACAAACCATTGCTGGGCTTAAAAACAAACTAGATACTTTAAGTCCCTCTATTTTACATCTGTTTTAATATTTGTAGCCTCATGATTTCATCAGTGTGGTCTAATTTTCATAGACCTGTACTTTTCTGTGGGCTTTGCTACCACTACTGGCTTTTGTATTTCTATCTTTTCTATTTGGACAAACGTGCATCGGATGGTGTATTCAGCCAACTGACTGATTGAGCATTCCTCATTACAAGTGGCTTAAACATAAACAGTAACCTGAGGGTTATTGTCAAGTTCTTGAGCCAACTTTCTGAATGTTTTCCTTTCCCCCTACAAGTTTGTAATTATATATGGAAGGTCAGAGACAAGGAACAAGCAGGCTTTTTTGGACCCACGTGTTTTCAAAATTCTTTCTTACATAGTAAAACAGGGACAGCTCTCAAAATTTATTAGCAAAGTTATACATTTCACTGAAACTACTTCCAGTGCCCTATAGGTCTTTGCTCCACCTGGAAAAGGTGCTCTAGTTACTTTCTGTGCTGTGTAGACGACCTGACCCCCCCCCCCAAAAAAAAAAACATGCTTAGAGGGAAACTTAGCTTATAGTTCCAGGGGAATGGTATCCACCATGATAGAGCAGACACGGTAAAAATGGTGAAAGCAATGACAGTATGGATGAAGAGCAGGACAATGGCTATTAGTGTTGTGTCCATACCCAGGAATGAGAGGGAGAACAGGGATGCTGGTGGGCTGGGCTGGGCTATAAACCCTCAAAGCCCTCCTCTAGTGATATACTTCCTCCTAAAGGCTCCACCATTAGGAAAGGTTCTTTAACCTTCCCATACAGTGCCACCAACTGGGGACCAAGCATCAAATACATCAGGCCATGGGGGACATTTTTCATCTAAGCTATCACAAGGGCACCCACTCTCTACTCTGCCAAGAAATGCTCCCATATTACTGGCATTTTCTACAGCGTTTTGAAGGGTTTTTAAAGCATTTTTTGCATGAAGAGGCATATGGGCTACATTTACAGTGAAGTGGAAATTTCCGTTTCACTCTTCCCTCTACCACTTAGGAGCGGGGTCATTTTAGGGAAATCACTATAGCTATGCTTCACTAATCTTGTCTGCAAAATATGAGAGCTCATAAAATGCAGTGTTATCCTTAGGGTGGTTTTCAAGAGCTCCTGAATGCCTTCTACTGAAGTTCCTGAAAGCTCTGTACATTTTGGAAAAGACATCTGACAGCTGTTCCTTGAAATGAATAGATACACACCTCCAGGGTCTTTTTATTTTTCCCATCTCGCGTTCTATATGACTGTAAACAGTATCCAGTTAATATCCATCATCGTCAATGACTTTATACTGTCTCCAAACCTCATGATATATTACAGTTGGTTCAACCATATGCTGTGTTTATAAAGAATTTAGAGTCATTTTTCAGTTGAGGTCTATTTGTTCATCATCCTCCTGACTTAGTACTCTAGTGGATTAAGAGTCTTTAATGAGATCAATCAATTAAGTCAGAAAGGCATTAGAGAAGAACTGATAAACATTTATTCTCCCCAATTTCTAACCCATGATGGATGATGCTTATTTTATTATTGTGCCCTTTAAAAAACATTTTGTCTAACACTCTAGAATGACTGCTTGGGTATGAATGTATCACAGTTGCAATTTCACACTAGAACTATGAAATAGTTCAGATTATGAAAAAAATCAATACTGGTTTAATTGGATTCTTCTCTGTACTCAGTATCCAGTGTGGGAGATAAAATAGTTGAAGCACTATGCGTATTATGTACCTAAGATAATTGACATTCTGAAATTAGTATTTATAATTTTCATCCATTCATTTGTAGTTGAATGAGAAAATTTATACTCATAACAAACTGCTGATTGCATCCTTTTGACTGGAGCTGAAGTTATGGTGTAAAATAAAAACCTAACACATCTCATGATTTTTCTTTTTGACACCAAGCAACATAAAAGAGAATTTACCTCAAGTGCTCTGACCCAGCTTCTCACCCTGCCCAGCACTCCCCAGAATTTCCAATCCTGTCTTCCCCACAGGGAAATGTCCACATTTCCCATACCAACATGTGCTATCTATGTTCTTGTTTCCAGATCACTCCTTTGTGTCTATTCTGTTGGAAAGATGGTTAGATTAGGTCGGTCCATGGGAAGAAAAGAGAATGTGGCTTGTGTAACCATTGCCTTAGCCTTTTGTGTTGATTCCAGGTGGCTCCAAATTCACAATTAACAATAAAACAGCTGTTTCCTAGGTCAGATTTAAAGATATTTACCCGTAACACTGACTTTACTGTGATCATGATTCATTTTATATACTTAAGACCCTGGCATCATTTTCCCTTTCTTCTCTTTTTCCAGCCCCTCCAACACCCTCCCAAATTCACAGCCTCTTCTTTTTAACCATTATTGTTACCTATAAAGAAATGAATATAAATACAGCCTGTTGATCCCTTGGTATAGGAGAACCACTTAGGAGGGGGGTATAGACAGAGTTTTTTCTTGGGATCACCAGTCAGCTCTGTCCCACCAGCCACTCCCAAGTAACCACAGAGATTTAACAATAATTATAAACACTCAGCCGGTAGCTTGGACTTGTTACTAATTCGTACAACTTTAATTCACCCTTATTCCTGTCTATGTTCTACCACATGGCTCATTATCTCAGTTTGTCTCCGTCTTCCTCTGCACCTTGCTCACAACTCCTGAGACTCCACCCTTCTTCTTCCCAGCGTCGTCCTAGGCTGGCTCTTTCACCCAGTCTCATCCTGCCCAGCTATAGGCTAGCCAGCTCTTTATTAACCAATGAGAGTAATGCGTATTTACAGTGTACAAAGATTGTCCCACAGCAGGGGTGTGTTCCTGGGGAATGCTAACTCTTACTCTCTTAAAAGTTGTTCATGGTTTGCCTCATCTGGGAGAGGAGGGCCCTGGGATTTCTCTCCCTTCTTCAGTGGGCTATCAACCATTGGAATTGCTCAGGTCTTGTTCAGGCAGCCATGCTGTTGACATTTCACAGGTTCTGCTTCCCTGTGATAGCTAGAAGGATCAGTTCCACAGAAGGCTTCCAGGGCCTCTGCCTCTCAGAATCTTTCTGTCCCCTCTTCGTTGATATTTGCTCTCTGAGCCTTAAAGTGAAAGAATTGGGTTATATATGTATCATTTGGGGCTGAGTCACCATCACGGTCACTTGGTCTCTGCAATTTGGTGAGTTGTGGCTTTCTGTAATGGTCTGCTTCTGTAAAGGGAAGTTTAAGCTCCCATCATCACGAAAAGTGAAGAATAACCTATAATCTGGGCAGGACTTTCATATAAACGTCCCCAAATGAACCATAAAGCACAAGATGGACGTTTACAGTTAGCACCCACCTCCCATCTCCACCCACCTCCCATCTCAAATTATGTCTCCCTGGAGTATCATGTCTTTCTCCATCCCTTCCAAAAATTCTGGTTTTCAAATCATTACTGGTGTTCACAAGGAAGTCCTGCTGTGATGATGTGGCCTTAACGTTGAACAGTCAACCTCGTAGGACGACTTTGTGAACCGCACAGGAGGTCAAAGTGGTGTGCTGGTGAACTTAGCTGACTTTTGTGACCATTGCTCCCTTCTGAGCTACGACGGAACCTTGACAATGTTGAGGGCTCCCAAGCAGCTGTTGCTACATCATTTCTGCTTCCTCCGGTAGCTCATTTGCCACTAATGATATTCTTTCATTATGCAGCTCGTTATTTTTTTAAAATGTTAGCATTAACATTTTAAAGAAAAAGGACAAGTGAGACGTGTCTATTTATGGAAGGATGTGAATTCGTATGTGACCCTGTTAGACAATCTGAGAGAATTCAAATTGTAAAACTGACCTTCATAAAAGTTATTAATTATGCTTTCTAGTTAAAAATAGAATACATGATTGAAGGACAATGGTGAAGAAATTCTTTTTACTCTATAATTTCATCGTTTTGGTAAATGACTAATTTACATCCTAGGAGCAAAATAGCTTTCTCGTGGCTATAAATCTAATTGTGGTGTCAAGAGAAACCGCTTTAAAACAGCATAAGAATTACTTTATATTGTATACATCTGATGACATCCAATTGTGGGGAGATATAAGAACTTGCTCTTAGTTTATTGACATTTTGCCTTTGTCTCAGAAACATCAAACTTTTTTACTGCATGATGTAAAACTGTAATCACATTGGCTGCTATTATCATACAATACAAGCTTGAGTCATTAGCACATATATAAGCACAGGGTTTTCAAACGGACATTAGTGACTATGTCGCTAAAGAATCATCAAAATATTTAGAGTGAAATAGATAATGTGAAAGTTAATTATTTTACAACAACAATGATTAAAAAATGGCACCAAAGGTTTGAATCAGAGATTGGAACACAAAGGGATGGTATTAAAACCGACCCCTCAGGTTTACATATCACCAGACAATGCTTCTCTGTAACCAAAAGCCCTGAATGAGAAGTAACTCCTTTCTATTGTTTCAATAAGCCACATGGAGCTCTTGGCACAAAACGTAAATGATAAAATATTAAATACATAAACATAATCACAGAATAGAAAGCATGTTTTAGAAGTCCATATTTTGAGACAATATATTTTGTTAAAGGATTTAGCACTTTGGCAAACTAGATTAGCTTAATGTCAATTTCTTTGGTTATAGCACATGAGAAGGGGTCAATTATAATGTAAAAAGTGAGCAACAGAGTAAGAAAAGAAAGATACTTTACTTTTCCCTAATCGAATCCCATTTAGAATGAAACAGTTCACAATCAGACTGACCAACCCTTAGCACTTCTATATACTTATATATACTATATGTACTTTAACTATATAATTTTTTAATTATGTCAATTTTTAAAAATCAGGCAAATGAAAATTTTTATGCCTTGTTTTCTTATAATTTTTAAAATAAAATTCTAAGAATGTTTCCAAACCCTTTACATGTATGCTGTATTGAAGATAGGATATTATCTTTGCTGTAGCTTCTCTGTTATTTAAAAGACATTTAACTTGCCAAAATATATTTTAGAAGTGGATTTTTTTTTTTCAGAAATCTGTCACTTTATTTTGACACACAAAATAGGTAACTCTTGTCTTTGTTGATCCATTTTTCCCAACAGAGGATTACCACCTTAACTGTCACGGTAACTCCTTTTGCATGATCTCTGTGGTTCATGACTTTGAATTTAGTACGGATGCATGCAGGTCAAGATAGTACTAATGTGGCAATTGGTTTGATCTGGCGTTTACTTTGTGTTTATGTTATTAACCTTTTAAAAACATTTGACATAGTTAAATTGCTGTCTGTTCTGTGGGAAAGTCAAAAAAAATATTACATTTTCTAAGACTTTAACCTCCTGTGAATAAGGTAGTTTGATCTTTTGTGGCTTAGAAATCAAAGCTTTGGCAGAGCATGGTGATGCACACCCTTAATCCCAGCACTCTCAACCCAGTGACAGCTGGATCTCTGTAAGGTCAAAGCCAGCCTGGTCTACAGAGCAAATTCCAAGACAGACAGGACTACATAAAGAAAGGGGGGCAGAGGAAGGGGAAGGAAAGAAAAAAGAAGAAAGAGAAAGGAAGGAAGGAAAGAGAGAGAGAGAGAGAGAGAGAGAGAGAGAGAGAGAGAGAGAGAGAGAGAGAGAAAGAAAGAAAGAAAGAAAGAAAGAAAGAAAGAAAGAAAGAAAGAAAGAAAGAAAGAAAGAAGAAAGGAAATCAAAGCCTTTGAAGTAGATGGCTAAGGGTGGAAGGTGACATCAGATCAGTCACAAGAAGTGGTGGGCAGAACAGAAGGCAGCGATTTCAACTGTCTTGTCAAATCCAAAGCTTTTTCTGTAGTATGGTGACTTGAGGAGTGTACCGATAGTTCAGAACTCTGGTTGGCAGTTGTTATCATCATGAAATTGATGAAATATTGCCCCACTGAAAGTCAATATCTAGGCATATTTGATGATGATAGAAATGATGGGGCTGTGTGGTGTGCTTGTTACTTTTAAAGCCTGAAATTTTAACATGTACATTTGCTATGTTTTTCAACTGTGTCTTGTCTTGATTCAGGGCCCCCCTGGACCTCCTGGACCTCAAGGACTACAAGGGCCAAAGGTTATCCTTCCTTACTTGTCTCTCTTTATCACGTACAGTGCAGCAGAGATGCCATTTTTATTTTATTTTATGCTGTTTTATTTATTTAAGAATGTATGTCTTTATAAAATATGTCTTCCAAATTCCTAGAGAAGCAAGGCCAGAAACCCTGTTTGAGAGGACAAAGAAACAGTATTGGAGTCTCCAGTAAAGGAAGAAGGAGAGCTCCAAAGGAAGGAGGGAAAATGAGGAAAGAGGGAGAGAAATGGAATGACACAGATTTAGGAAAGGACACTGAGAAAAGTACAGAGTATTAAACAAGGAAAGGCCAAGTTTCACAGAAGTTATAAAGGTTAATAAGTACTCTACATGTCTTAGAGCAAAGGATAAATATTCAAACAAGTGAGGATTGATGCGCGTTTACTCTTGCCATAAGAAAGACCTTTTTGTTCAATTCTTTTCTAAGAGGAGGACAAGGAGAGGCTTCCCATGATGCATTCATGAGTGACTGGCAGGTTTAGGAGTCATTCTCGAGACGTTTTACACGCCTTCTCTTTGTTACATGCATTCAGACTTTCTGCCACACATTTTGTTGAATGAAGCACACTGACCACAAACAGCAAAGTCTGAAACATCCTTGATTATACATCAGCTTTGTTGGTGGTATTAGCTTTACTCCCCCGCCCCCAAACTAAAGCTTTGTCATTCCACCATGTTTGATCAATTAACACATGTCCAGGGATTCTGGCTTTGCAGAGCTGAGCTACGCGTGTTGAAATACAACTTTCGTCATTGGATTCTTGTAGGAGATTCAAGTGGTTTCGAAATTCATTTTTTATTTATGCTTCTTAGGTTGGTTTATTTGCTGGGCCTGTCATACACACACACACACACACACACACACACACATTCATGCACATGTCAGCTTTTGTGCTTTCTCTGGATGCTTAAAAGTAAATGTTCAGTGTTAGAGAAGTTTATTTCTCTATTGAAAGACCATAAAGTAAACTATTTCTGAGGTTCTTGTCCTTGTGAGATGTATTCGGGGCATAGATCCTAATTACCAAAATATTTTTGTGTAACAGAATCATGTTCCACATATAACATTAATGTATGATTTGGAACTTTTTAAACTAGTTTTCTACATAGTCTTGTCCTGGAAAGCACACACCAAATAGGCCAAATAAGTCATTCAATGTGCTTCTCTTTGATGAGCCTCTGCATGGATCCCTTTCCTTAACAGTCTATTGATCTGGGCTAGACGTAGAAGGAACCCTGGCGACTCTCTGGTCCTTCGTGTAGCATCAAACCCAATGAAATTTCTTGCTTCATCTCCTCTCATAACTAAATCTCAAGAAGCAGAATTTTCCCCAAAGCTAAATACATTCTCAAGAAGCAGAATTTTCCCCAAAGCTAACTACATACTTCATTTCCCACAAGGCTTCTAAGATATCTCTGCAGCGCCGAGGCCTAGCAAAGGCAGCCATGTTTTGATTTAAAGAAATGGAAAGGGCTACCCAGCTAAAAAAAAAAAAAAACGCTGTCTCACTAAACCTTCCATCTCCCCGCTTATGATCACTTGTTAATTCAGTTGCCCAAGAGGTAATGATGAACCTTCACTCTCTTATATGGTTTGGAACCTGCAATGTGAACCTGTAAGATACCAGTAAGAACATAGAACCCAGAGTGTGAGACAGGCTCCTAAAGGCATGGTCGCTAATAGAGTAAGCGCTTTGAGTAAGAGTGTGTGGGATGAGGGCTAGGGTATGATGGCTCAGTGGTTAAGAGCATCAACTGCTCTATCCAGAGAACCCAGATTCCATTCCCAGCACCCGTATGGTGGCTCACAACCATCTATTACTCTAATCTCAGGGCGTCTGACACTCTCTCCTGACCTCTGAGAACACCAGGGGCACACACAGCACAAAGACATACCTGCAAGCAAAAATACACATAAATCTTTTTGTAAAAAAAGAGTCCGCGGGGTGGATATGCATAGGAACGCCCTCTAAGTCTGGAAGTCCAAGATGGGTTTGAGTTGAAATTGAAGAAAGACAGGGAGATGGTAACCATCTGGAAACTGGTACATGTGGTAACAGAGGCATCCAGTTCCTGCCCGCTACCTGCCCCTTCCCCAGTTTGCCCACCAAACTGTCAGCCCACCCATCCCCGTGTCTTCGCACTAATGTGTGACGTGACAGGCCTTGATACTTCCCATGGCCATTTTATTTTATTTTATTTTATTTTATTTAGGACTAAATTTTTATAACTGTTTATTTCATGCATACATACCTATGATATAGTTTAATTGTAAAATGGGTAGAACAGGAGGAAGTTGGGATGACTGAGGTGGGTGTGTGTCACTATGAGCCAGCACAGCATGCCCTGAGGTGAGCATAGGACTTATCCGCAGTTCCAGACTTATCCCCAGTTCCGGACTCACCGCGTTCTCAGACTGGCAGTACTCTAGTCACCTGGATTTCTCCTTCCAGTGTCAAATAAAAGGTGTTTTCATTTTTCACACATGAAAAAACTCTTACAAACCACACTTGAGTGAGGGAAGACCTATGAATCTGGTAGTTCTTTTAGCCTCCCTGGTCCATATGTGTAAGGGTAACAGTTCAGCAAAGCTATAGCGATTGGCCTAGAGTGTTGACAGATATCCAGACTCAGAGTGAAGCCGGGGCTCAGCCGGGTGCATCCAACCTCAGCAGACTTGTTTGTGGCAAAATAAACTTTGCTACTGCCACAAAGAACTGGAAACCCAAAAATAAAAAGAAAGGCCTTTTTTTTATTTCATTGCTTTGAAACCACAAGATCCTGCCTGCCTTAAACACTGGGAAAGCTCAGGTTTCATGCTGTGGCCTACAGCTCTTAAAAGTTTTTTTTCCCCCCAGGAAAGGGAACTCTAGCGGATGGAACCTTGTGGTTTTACACTATTACCAAAAAAACCCTTCCTAGAAAACACAGCCTCAGGGCAGCACCTGGGAAAACCCCTTCATGAGGGACTTGCTCACATCCAGAACCGTCTTCACACTTCGCACAGGGTAAATTGGGGCTTGTAATACCATCCACATGGAGAGTTAAGTGGTATAAAAAATGCCTTCCCTTTCAAAGGGTTTTTGCTCTGTTATCCTTCAAAGCTGAAAAAAAATGACTAAACATGTATTGTTTAAATAATCTCTCACATGTTGTTCAGATTTGCTTTAAACTAAACATCTTCCATTTAAAAAAATAAATCTCCGTATTCTGAGTTTGTCAAACATGCTAATAAATCATACTATTAAAAGTTCATCTATTTCATTTCTAGCAGAGTATAGGAAGTGGAAAGGGTCTGAGGGTCACTTCATGGGGATTAAGATATCTGATTTATTAGGTCCTCCAGTGGGGCTTTTCTGGCCCGGGCACACTCACAGCCATTATGAACATTTCACATTATGCCAGTTAAAATATTGCCATAAATTTACCAGACTTTGCCTTTTAGTCTTTCTTGGTTTGGCTGCTACGTTTTGATGCTCTAATTTGATGAAAATTAGAGAATCCATACTGATTCCTCCCTTATGGGAAAAAAAATAACGACACAGTCACAGAAATGTTGCTGGAGGATGTGGGCAGCCATTGAATAGTATATAACCAATGGAACACTGGAAGAAAGGTGAAGACAGTGGCTACATGCTACCAGGAGTATTATTACACACAGTTCTCAAAGATCGCCCCTTCACTTAGTGCAGATCTATGTACTGTACCAGCATGTTCTTGGGTTAAAATGCATTTGCTAAAAGTCAGACTGTACTTTTACCAACTAGCATGACTTCTGTAGCAATGATAAATGCAGGCAAGTTCTTGCTTTTTATTTTGACAGGGTGAGCAAGGATCTCCAGGAATTCCCGGAGTTGATGGAGAACAGGTAATTTTCCAAGAGCTATATGGTTATATAAAGCACCATTATTGATCACTACTTTTACTATAGGTTTAAAGCCAAAAGTCATGTCTTTTCATAGATGATGCTTGCCCTCTCTTTTTTTTTTTTTTTTTTTTTGTCATTTGTTCCACTGGAAAGCCAAAAGTACAACTAGTTCTAAATTAGATAAAAATTTTGTTGGTAGCAATGTAAAGCCACGTGTTACTCTTGCTTTGTGCTTGATACTACTGACCTGTCAATCTGCCTCAAAAGAGTCTAGTAACTAGACTCTGAAATCACTACATTAGTAAGAACAGCTTCAGGTTTGACTTTGTGGGTTTTTTTTTTTCAGTGAATACAAGCAATTCAATATCAAAATCAATGGTCATAGTTTTCACAAATAGCATGGCTTGTCTACAGTCATTTGAGAATGCCTCCTTTTTCTGTTTAGTGATTTCCCCTGATTTTCTAGAACTTTTGAAAAATCAGACAAAAGTGAAGCGCTGTAGCTTTGTCCACTGTAGCAATATCTTCCAGAGCGTCCTCAACATAGAGGCTGCTAACATTTCTGTAAAATGCGATATAAATACTTTAGGCTTTGTGGGTGCATATTACCTCTTTCATGAGTCCTTTTCTTTAAGCATGTCTTACTTTTTTTAATTCAACATAAATAAAATCAGTCCCTAGGCTGGACTTGGCACGTCGGCTGCGGCTTGGCATCCCTGCCCTTTTCAGGGTTTTGCTAAGAGAATGCAGACAGCATTAGGAATCAAACCACAAGGATTAGTTTCCAAATCTTTGAGGTTATATGGACTTCCATTGTTTTCTCCAAAAAAAAAAATGGCTCATGGGATGGAAAGACAGCTTGTTGGTTGAAAGCATTCATTGATCTTGCAGAGGACCTGGGTTCAGTTCCCCACATCCACAACAGGCATCACGCAGCCACCTGTCACTCTAATTCCAGGATGTCAGATGCCCCTCTGGCCTCCACGGGCCCCAACACACACGTGATGCCCATCGTCATATTCAGGCCCACACACAGAATGGAAAAAAATGCGGTTGAATATATTCAAGAAATACCTAGAATTAATGGATAAGAAATCAAAAGAATTCTTGATCTACAAAGTCAACCATATACTCTTTAGGAGAAAGTATGAGATGAAAAAAAAAATACTGAACTTTAGGAGAATAGTTATTTTTAATAACAGAGCTGGATATTGAGGTCATATAATGTCACATTAAACAAATATTACAGAAAGGGTAATTTAGTCAATTTGCCATGGCAATCAGAGATCACATGAACAATAACCTTTCCCCATCGTTAGTAATTAAAGATAACAAATTAGACGTGTATAATGACATACTGAATGTACCTAAATATACAATATATACAATAGTTGGATTTTTTTTCTCTATTGTCCTTGTAAGATCCTGTTCTCCCACTAAGCCTCTTGGGTTGGCCTTGTTGCTTTTCCCTGTCACAAGATCCCTAAAGCCAAATGATCTTGCTGATTCACCAGCAGGGTCTATTTACCTTTGCTGGTACTGCCCCACTCCCCCAGTATGTGATTCTGAATTCAGTATAAAGCTGGTTAACAAATTAATATGTGTTCTTGTTTCTAAGATGAACAGGCCTGTGCAGCTTGTGAATCCCCTACCATGGTAACCATGACCATCTGGTCAGATTGCCACAAGGTTGCCAGGATGAAAATGCTGAAAAATATTAATTAATTTCAGTGTTAGGGTTCCATAACTCACATTTGTTAGCATTCAAAACCCACACATCTGTCTCTTCATTCTAAAAGAATATTAACTGCATTTGGCTCACCATGTAGAGATGTCATGAGAACCGCACACAAGCTGAGTGTGTTAAAGCATTGATTGCACACCGGTGCTGGAAACTGATGGCAGCGAGAACTTATGCATACAGTAAAGAGGTGGGAAGGACTGGAAACCTTTACTTGGATCTTTGTTCTTATAGCAACACTAAGTCCTGGTTCACGTGTCTTCTGTAGTGCTAAGAATTACAGTCATGACATTGTCTTCTGGGCTAATAGGATACAATTAGTTGTCGAGCAAACTTATGAAACCAGGAGAAATCGTGCCAAATACCGACTTCATGTTTTTCATATTTAAGCAGTCTCTAGAACGTCATCCTGTTGGAAATTTTATTGATCCAGTGTAGGAGGGGCTATAAGAAGAATACCGGAAAACAAATGGTATCGGCCTCTCAGCTCGCACCCGCTGCTTGGCAGATTTATCTGGAATCCCATTGGCCCCAGGATCTGCCTATCAGGTTGTCACTATGCTTCTCACCTGCCGACTCTATCACTTGCAGGGTCTCAAAGGTGCCAAGGGAGATGTGGGGGACCCAGGGATGCCAGGTGAAAAAGGAGGAATTGGACTTCCTGGATTGCCGGTATGTTCACACTCTGTGCGCTCTGGCTAAAATAAGTGACTAGGAAAGAATTGTATATTCAACCACACTCCCAGCCAGGGGTTTCCAATCTGGTTTCATTTTTGAAATAACAAAGTATCGTTGCTTAGTTTTTCCAAGCGGGACACTAAAATTTTAAAGTATAACCACATTAATTAAAAAGTAAGTGGTTTCTTTCCTGAATCATTTTCTTTAGAAGGTAATAAAGCAAATAGAATTGGCCATTTGAGTTTAATATGTATAGCCAAGTAATTATCATAAAGTAAACAACAGTAAAGAAATATAAAAAGCACAAAATCTCAAAACTTTAGAACCATTAAAGAATAGATTAGTCTGTGTGTCTATACTTTGGAGTAGTGCTTATTCCCCTGACTTACTGTTTCTCTGAAACTTTAGGGAAATATAGAAAATATAAGGAAAAAAGTAGAGAGGTTTCCCTACCCTCTACCCTCTCCCACCCTATGCCCAATACTGATGATTGAACCTATGGCCCCTTACTTGCCAACCGAGCCCCTCTACCACTGAGCTATATCTCAAATCCTTTTGTTTTTACTTTCTATGTTAAAAAGTTGCATAGGCTGCCTTGAACACACTCTGAAACACAGGCTGACCTTGAATATTTGATCTTTCTGTCTCAGTCTCTCTAGTATCAAGATCTCAGGCCTACATCTTCAACCTGTTTTTAAAGAAGGAACTATAGATAAATGTCAGTGGAACCAAAGTCTCACCTTTGCTATTTAAAGTGAGCACACTGTAAAAAATAATAATAACATTTATAATCCTGTATATTTAATACTGTGAAATCAGGTTCAGCCCAGTTTCTATTTACTTTGTATTTTGCTTTATATAGCACTCATAATCCTAGGGATTTTAGTATGTTTACCGCTTTGGACTAAAGTGCGTGGAGACAAAACTTCTTATGTATGATCTGCAGAATATAAAAATTCAGGGCAGCCAAAGTCCGGTTGTCTGTTAGACCTTGGAAATAACTTTCCTGCTAAATCTGCTTCCTGGTTCTTTGTAGGGTGCCAATGGAGTAAAAGGAGAGAAAGGAGATTCTGGGTTGCCGGGGCCTCAGGGTCCTTCTGTAAGTCCATGGGGTTGACCCTTCACGTGGGAGTATCATCTGCCTAGGTCCCCCTGTGCCAGATGCCTAATCAGTAACAGAAATAGTCATTCACTTAGTGGATCAAACTATACGTGATACATGTTGGTCTTGTACAGTAAGAGATGGTGTATCTCAGAAGTTTGAGTTAGAAGCAGCTTCTCAGAGCTCTTGGGAGAGAAAAAAAATCAATGGGTTTCCCATAATGCTTATAGGGAAAGCCTCGTGAAATAAGAACTTGCATTCTCTTTTTCTCTAGAGTCCCATTTGTGCTTCGTGAAATAACCGAGGGCTTGATCGCGGTCGCAGAATTATAGCATTTCTCAATAATCAGTTGCTTCCTTTTCTTTTAATATTGTTTTGATTTACTCTGGGTTTTTGTAGAACAACTGTAGTATTTGAAGTTATTTGATTCTCATAGAGGAGTTTCTAAAGCCAGAGAATCAAGCCCAGCTCCCCTCGCAGGGTCCTCTCTCCTCTGTGACTATTGATGGCATTAGCAGAGCCCTAGAACAAAACCCATGCTGTGCTGCCTTATCGGTATGAAGTAACCACACCCGTGTTTCTTCTTTGGACACACAGATCATAGGCCCACCAGGCCCGCCAGGTCCCCATGGCCCACCTGGCCCCATGGTAAGTTTTCTTCTCCCTGGAATGTGGTCATTTCTCTGCGCGTGTGCTACTTGGAGAAAAGATGAACACTGCCGGCTTTTGTTTGGCACTGCTCTCTGGGGAGTGGACAGAAGGAGGGAGGTGCTTTGACCACTTTACGGCGCTGTCTTTCATTCCCCTAAACACAATTAGAAAGATGACGCGCCGAGGAGAGATGGGTCTGGCAAGCTTTCCTCCATTGCTGCACGAACATGGCAAATCGTCTTATCCAGTCAGTGCTGTAGGCTGTTAATAGCAAGTAAAGGCACTAACTGAGCTGGTGAAGAGGGTTTCCAAGCAGCTTTGGCACTTGAGAACCTTCCCTGAACGCTCCAGTTAGAACATTTGTAAAAAAAAAAAAAAAAAAAAAAAAAAAAAAAAAAAAAAAAAAAAAAAAAAAAAAAAAAAAAAAAAAAAAAAAAAAAAAAAAAAAAAAAACTGTGATAAAGGCGGAAGCTGGCTTCCACAGATGACGTAGAGTGTGGAGCTTTCTCCTTCCGTGTTAATGACTCTTCTGGTAATTCAGGGAGCCAGGCCGTGTTTGCCGCAGTTGTCTCCCAGTGGGCAGGGGAAGCAGCATTCCTGACCCTGTAGAGCTGCCAGTGGGAAAGGCAGCTATGAAGCAAGTGTGACTCTCTAAGTGCTGGAGGACCAACAGTTGTGCTTAGGCTAGAATGTGGGCAGCAGAGTGCTTCGAGTGCTTTTGACTCGGCGAGGAACAAGGCAGGCTATAACGTTACACCCGTCTCTCGGGCGTCCTCATAAACCGGAAGACATCAATAACGGAGATGAAAGCAAGTGTGGCCACTCTCCACTCCAACTGCACTCTAGAGGGAGCATCGTGGGTCAGATCCCAGCCACAGCGTAGCCTGCTCACCCAGGTCTCACTAACTCCTCCTTTCTTTGGTAAACAACTTCCATTAACCCTCTTCTCTTAACACCAAAGAGAACATTAAGAATGAATCAAGTGGCAGATTTTTGCCTTTTTAGATTTTTTTCACTTTAAGTTAGAGGCTAAAATTTAAAAAGGCTACATCCTGTTCAAATGATAAGGTTAATTAGCTCAAAGGAATTTTAGACCATTATTATCTTGAGATACGAATCCTCAATAATAAGAAACCATTTCCTGGAAGCGTTTATCCGCAACTTATCAAAAAGGGAAACATTACTCGAATGTAGACAGATGTAACGAGTATCTCAGGGAACATGGTCAGCTATATTTCCTTCTGTTTTATTTCACTGGTTTAAATATTTCACTATTTAAATATGCATCTCCCCAAATAGCTTATGAGAATCTCTTTCAAAGTTCAAAGCAATCCACAATAACCTTCAGTTAATTTAAATTGATAATTAGTTTCTATATTTGTATTTTCTGCCAAACAACTTTCTTTTTATCCTGATCCATACATCCATTGTGACGTCCTTTCTTTGATAAACAATTTTAGAAGGGCCGTAAAGAACCCATTTCTGTAACAATAAATGCAATCCAGATCATATCGCTTCGCCCTCTTTGATCTTAAGCTAGATGACTAACTTTGCAGATTCCCAGGCTCGGCTGCCATCTTCCCGTCGCCTGTGGGTTCTTCAACACCTTGGTGATGAAGACTTAAGGACAAAGATCTCTTCTTCCTTGCTACTCACACTGTAGAGAATTTTTTTCCTGAATTTTCTTGGCTTTTATGTTCTACCTCTATTCCATAAAAATTCATGAATCATCTCAAGCATTCCACCAGGTTATAAAATGGAAATTTGAGATGTACCTGTAATGTAACGACAAAACAGGGCTTCTCTTTTTGCCTAATTTTTTCTTCCATGGAAACCCCAGCAGCTTTCCCCTCTCGTAGGCATTTAACAGGCAGAATTGCTCTTAATGAATTTCCTATTACAGAGCAATCCAAGAGCTGGAAGGAACATTTGGTAGGTAATAAATAACATCCCACTGACCTGCCTCTGGCTATAGCACAAACAAGAAGATTCTTGTCTTACATCTCCGTTTTAGACTTGATATAATTCTAATTTCCACAAGGAAGCAGTGAGTCAGTTTTTAATTAAAGCTTTGCTTTCCATTTTTAGGGACCCCACGGACTTCCTGGACCAAAGGTACCAGCAAATCCCTTGATTACTTGATTTCTATTTCCTTGGTGGTCACGGGCAAGCATGACGGAAGCACGTCTGTCCTGTCTTATTTATTTGTCAAGTAATGTTGATAGTCTTTAAGCCTTTAAGCATCCAGATGTTTAACGCTCACTATGCAACCTGACTCAGAATGAGTTTAAATGCAATCTACCTGGAAATAAACCATTCCTCATTTTGCTTTGGCCCTTGTCACTATGTAAGTTTTTAAAATACGTGGTATATTAAAAATCTGCCAATTACAAGCCTCTTGATGAAATTCCCGGGCTAAGCCAGGAGCTCTCTGGGGTTTTTTGGTGGCAGTAGTTCTATGTTTTCTGTCAACTGGAGGTCTTGTTTATCACACACGACTGCTGTACCTGCCTGCTTTGGCTACCCAGCATCCCAGTGGTTTACTTCCCATGGGTCATGATCTATAATAGGATGGGGTATGTCAGCTGTGACGTCACAAAATTCACGCGAGTCTGCGCTGCCTACTCGTCATCTTAAAACCACACACTAGAAATGTGCCCACGTGCAAAGCCACGAATCTCAAGTTTAGAACAGTGACCACTGAGCCTTGGCCGCCAGTGCGTTGTTGACGGTGACACGGTGGCCTCAGGATTAGACTTGGGTCAACTGTGGCTACACTACAGACTCATATCTTCAAGTCTACTATGCTGTGACAGTGTGGGGGCCTGAAAGTTCAAATACATAGCATGGCCTCATGGGTGCATCCCCTTCAGTTTTCCCAGAGTTTTCTGGTGAGCATCCTCGTCTAGGCAGCTGTTAGGAGACTCTAGACTCTGGACGTAATGAACAGCACGCTGGTTTTCACCATCAGGCAAGCAGATTGGATAATACTTCACAGCTTAAAAATCCCTTCAGCCAATGTGAACATGACCCTCATACAGTGAGGTCACCTTCCTTTCACAAGCCTTTCCATGTTTTCCAGACAAATGAAAAGTGTTGTGCCCGAACTCTCCGTCTCTAACATGTGATTGCTGATGGACCATCTGCATGCTATATATCCCGGGCTTTTTCCTAAACTGAGTCAAGAGGATTTACCACTTCCCTGGCTCTTGTAATGTCATCCCATGTTAAACCTTATTTCCTTCATGCTAACATGGTGCAGACAATTAGGGAAACTATATTCAAGTTCTCTGATCTTCATATTCTCTTCTGGGACTGTCAGCTTGTGGTTAACTCTATTGATTAATCCATGCAGGGACCTGACTTGGCAGGGTCAGGGAATGGGGACTTCCAGCATGGCATCAACTTCAGATGTCAGCGACTCCGAGTTCAGTTCATTCTCCTGGGCAAAATGCTTAAAGGCTTAAAATGTCTGTCTGTAACACTGCCCTGCAGATTCCAGTTTTCAATCCCAGCAGAATGGGGTTTTCTGACGGATCCCATCAGCATCCTCCGCTCTGATTGTCTCGGATTTGCTAAGTCAAAACAATGCAACACTAAGTTCCTCGAGGTGGAACTCCAAAATCCGTGCCGTCAGCTCTACATCTTCTGGTGATACTCAACACTTTTCTTGAGTTTCGTTGCTTTCTGGAATATTATCTGTCATCTGTAGCTTATTAAACTCTAGCTTAGGTGATTAACTCATGCACCACCAGCTTGGCCTCACTCTGCTGTCCCCTAAAACTGGAATCTGCAGGTGTTTCGGAGACTGGCTCTCTTCTCTCACAGTTTAAACACCCATGATAGCAACCAAAATTGGCATTTGCTTTTGCATTTAGGGTGAACCAGGGTTAAATGGTGTTAAAGGATTGAAGGGTGAACCAGGTCAAAAGGGTGACAGAGGACCCCTTGGTCTTCCAGTAAGTAAAGAAAACTTTCCATTTCGGTGCAAATCTCAGATTTGTATTTCTGCCCTAAGTGACAATGCTGGTTTGCTCAGTGGCTAGCTCACAGTTGAGAGTCCTGTCCTTCAAACGTCAGGATGTCAGAGCAGAGCACAGCCCAGTTTCATTTTCCCTGATGTCTTGATCTCATGTCTCGGGGTGACCCCATAACAAACACCACCGCAAATGTTCCATCACTCGTCAATTCCATACATGCCAACCTTGCTCTTGTGGGGCTGACAGACCACCTCTGCCAGTGTCTCTTCCCAAAAGCGATGTTTATCGTTTCACAAATCTCTCCCAAACACGTTTATGGTCTAATACAATAAGACCCTCCCTCCGTTGTTTTCATCTTCTTGGAGTCTATAGAAACTATAGCTCGCCATTGGTGGCAGGTATGCAATTGGCCATTGCCGAGGCCAGTGCTGTGACTCCTTCCATTTATCAGCCACATTGTGTTCTATATGTTTTGTGTTGTCCGTTTTGGAGATTCCCTGCTATGAGATTCATGGGACAAGAGTAGATAGCATGAAAGAAGTAGTTTGCCATTGTAAAGATTTCATTCGTAATGAAAAGGAGTTTTACCCATTCATATACTTTATGCCAATATTCTTCCCACAACAACTTGGCTTTTTGAAATTATCATTGAAGGTAGTGGTTTGGGGCTTTTAATGCGTTATTTATTCAGTAAAGGAAGATAAGGGTCGGTAAATAATATTGTAGGCTATGTTTATAAAATATGAAATACAACCAATAACAAAAAATAGTTCTATATTTGAGATGTGAGATAAAAACATTGGTGGTCACCTATCTCATTATTCCCACGGGTACTGTGCATTCAGTATTAACATCCACTCAAAAGCCCATGACTTGTAAGTTCCACGCAGGAAGTGCTTTGTCCACATTTACTTAGTGAATCGTATAAGTTTTGTTATAATTTCATTTAAATTGTGCCAATTGGATCAGTGGATCGTAGCACAAGACGTCCACAAAGCCATTAGCTCTGTACCCCAGTTAGATACAGAATCTTGTGATCAATATAAATATCCTTTTTTTCAACGTGCCATTAAGATTTAGATATAAATATCATTTTAACATCTATCCTCAATTGTTATAATAGTGACTAAAAAAAGTCAGAAAGGGCTTATCATTATGCAGCAACAATGCCTACTGTTCATAAATGTTGCTACCTAAAGCTCTATTTTGTAGTTAGAGCATTGATCATGACAGGATCATACTGAAGGAAATTTTAAATTTAAAAAAAAAAAACTAAAAATATCCTAAATGTATGTGTTGGCATTGCTGGCAGATGGAATCGATTTTTTTCTTTCATTTTTTGTTATTAACTACTCCTGAGGTATGAAGCTGAGCGAGAGCTCTCTGGCCTGGCCAAGAGACTCGAAAGCGCTAACACAATATCTTCTTAAGTGTTCCGTGTCATAGTCTGTACCTTTGAAGTAACGAGTGTTGGGGATCTGCTATATAAGAGCCTAGTTAAGAAGGATCAGCCACAAACAGAGAAAGTGCCATTGTATCATCATACACGCACCATTGTATCACACGCACCATTGTATCACGCGCACCACTGTATCACGCGCACCACTGTATCACGCGCACCACTGTATCACGCGCACCACTGTATCACGCGTACACCATTGTATCACGCACACCATTGTATCACACACACCATTGTATCACACACACCCCGATGTGTAGCCCTCAACTGAAAATAAAGAAAAGCGTGCATTAATCTGAGAATATTACATTTTTAAGGCATTTCTCATGCAAATATCAAAGATAAAGATTATTTGAACCAAACTGAGGGACAAACTGGGACTTATTGTACCTTGAGCCCACATTTTTTTCTTGTTCCTAGAAGTCCCTCTAGTGGCGACTAATGTGAACTTTGGGTCAACAACATAAATAGCATCCATATAAAATCAAACCATCCCGATAGAGTAAAGCACAGCCTTTTCACCCCTAAAGCCATGTTAGCAAGTGTAGTCAGAGTTCTGGAGCCCTTTCTTCAGAGATTTCCACTACTTTCTCTTCAGAATATAAAGAAACATATCATGAATAATAGTCTTTAGAAGATGAATTTTATGTAGCCATATAGCTTGGAGCCCTAGGAACTTTGTAGCCCACTGTGTAAACCACATTCGCCAGATTTCTCGATGAGAATTTCCTGCTATAAGTGTCACTAGAATGCCATCATCTCTGGGGGCATGTATTGTCATGTGATTTTTTTTAAAACTAACTATTTGTAGCGATGTGATATTCATCCCAGAATCCCGTGACTGTGTATTACGTTGCTTGACGTGTTGCATTTGTTCATCAGTGCCTCGTACTAATCTCTGTTCTTGTCATCTGTGTCACACCCACCAACCCTGACACCAACCCAATCACACAGGGAGCATCTGGCTTAGACGGAAAGCCAGGATCCCGGGTGAGTCAGCCCCGCGTCCTGCTCCCACGTGCTTCATGGATGTGCATCGGGTGCTCTAGGGAAGACCCCTTCACTCCTTGGGGTCTTCTCAGATGCTGAGGGGTCGCCTAGGGAAAGGCGGACGAGGATGGTAGGAAGTGAGAAAGAGGGACAGAGAACGGGTTGCAACTGGAAGGTATAAACCTGAGCTGCCAGGTCATCTTCAGAAGTTCAAGTCTGGATGTTTACTAAGATAGAACACCCAGTCCTGCTGCCTTCAGTGTCTCAACAACCTAAAACAATTCATAAAAACCTTCCCTGTAATCCCATGGCAAAGGCTCCGAATGGGGAAAATAAGGAATTTAACTTGTTTTCCCTTTACATTTCTGTCCATCTTAAAATTGTAATTTCTTCCTTAAAATGGACCTCCAAGTCTCTACTCATGGCGTGCATCGTGTGTCTCCATCATTTTTATCATTTTTGTTGTTGTTGTTTTGGGCAGCTCAGTTTTTACTTGTTTGCCATAGTCAGTCAGTATTTAGAAGCCTTGTAGAGGTGAAATTTGAGATGAAGCAATAAGCGCATGATAAAGATAAATAAGAATTCACCAACAAGAGAATGAATTTGAAACTCTGAATTCGTTCCTATCCAGACATTCTAATGGAATCCATGATCTGCCAGAACAGTCATAGGAATACGCTAGACAAGCTGAAATGAAATAGTCCTCATGTGTGCAAACACTTGTGCACTCTTTACTGCTTAAGCATGGTCTTCCTGACAATCAAGCAAATAACCCTTATGACATTTTTTTAAGAATCAAAATGTTCAGTTCTACAACTCTTCAGGCAGTTATTATTTTCCACTGGACCCCAGAGTTCTTCCATTCTTTCAGATATTATCTTTTCTGCCACAGAAACCAATTTTATCAATCAAGGAAATTGACCTGCCTGATGTGCAAAGTCTAGAATGACCCCCCCCACCTTGTGAGCCCCTGCTGTCCCAATAGAGCTGCAGAAAGCTGATGCGAAAGTTAAACACTATTCACATTCATATGTTTTACACTTAAATTGCTAAAAAAAAAAAAATTTGAGGCTTTGGCCATGGGTGTCAGTGACTGTGGAGAACAGACTTGGGGAAAAGACAGTAGAAAGAAAGGATGGTTATACTTTCCTGGTTAAGATTATGGAGGTGCGGGGCTGGAGAGGCAGCTCAGCAGTTACGAGCACTGGCTTCTCCTGCAGAGGACCCAGGTTCAGTTCCCAGCACCCTCGTGGTGACTCACCACAGCTCTAACTCTGCTCTGAGGATCTGGTGCCCTCTTCTGGCCTCCATGGAAACTGCACACACATGATGTTCATACATACATGCAAGTACTCACAACACATACACATAAAATAAAAAATAAATTGGGAAAAATGATGACAGAAAAATGAAGCTGTTTATCAGATAAAAATAAATTAAAATTAAATAAGAATGAAATAAGGGGTTTGTGTATACTCTTTGTGGAAGCATGCAGTTAGATGTCTCATCCCTGTTGCATGAATTTCTCAAAAATAACTGGCATGAAAAACCATCAAGAATAAAGTACTTTAGAATCAGATAAGTTATCTAAAGACATCATTCTCTAAGATAAGTCAGAGTAAATCAGAATTTCTCTTCTTGCAATCCTTGTCTCTCACTGGTCTCATTTTATCTTTTTTTTTAGGGTGCAGATGGTCCCATAGGACCCCATGGCCCTGCAGGTCCCAAAGGAGAAAGAGTAAGTCTCTCTCTAGGTTATCACACTTAAGCTGAGCACTGAAAGAGCAAAGCATGGCTTCAAGATGATCTCAAACTGTTCATTGTCCAGGAATGATGGGGGCTATCTAGGATTAAATAAAAATACTGCTCATTTGAAGCTCTATTCAGTGTCCTAAGAATATGAGAAGAAAACCATACAGCATAAAACGGAATCAGTCTGCCTTAATGAAAACAATGCATACATTTACATAGCTAAAATAAATAGCTCCCATTAGTCCCTCTTAACCCATAAGGAAGATATTTTCATTGGGCCTTCATCCAGAAAGTTGAAGTCAATGAAGCTAAAATTTCTAGAACGACATATTCTGGTTGATAATCTTAATACAAAGCTACTGTATTCATTCCAAGTAAATTCTAATATTTTTCCGAAGGAAATTACAAAACCTAAATATTCTTCTCCACACAGTCACCCGTGCTCTCTGTGCTTTCATTTTTCTTTTGTGAGTTAAAGAATGACCTGTTTTCCTATAGCCATAAGGAAATGATTTCAGTGCAGTATAAAATGAAACCCTTTCACTAACCTCGCTGTTCTAGTCTATGCTTCCATATCCTTTGGAGGAAAAAAAAAAGATAGACGTTCAGGGGAAGATGAATATCTGACACACAAAAATGTTCAGTGGCCTCAGCAGCTGCTTGTGTGTCTAGAACCTCTTCCCTTCTCACAATTTTTTGCCCACTTTTTCTTTTCTTCACCTTGGAAATCTGTGTGTGTGTGTGTGTGTGTGTGTGTATGTGTGTGTGTAGAATTGTGAGCAATTTCCCTACCACACACCCTATGAGATGAGGAAAGGATGCTGAATGTGAGCATTGCATAAGATTGGCATGGTGCAAGTTTGTGGTCTTTTTAAAATGAGAGTTTATCAGTCCAGGGTAATTTTATTTCTAAAGAGAGGACCAGGTAAGTAGCAATGTCTCTGACATGCCTCCTAATCCCCCAGTCCTGTGTTCTGTAAATTCATACATGCAATAATTTTTCATGAGATGCAACTGTGCACAGTGCCATCCTTTGGGAGTGAAAGAAACACTTCTACTTAAAGAAACCCCCTTTGCTCGCTGCTCTGCTACGTTGACTATAGCCTTATAATTGATTCATCATCACAGAGACTCATTAGTGATCATAAATATATGCATGATATATAAAAAATGCTGTAGAGGAAGCAACTGTTTTCTTTTTTCTTATATTGAAGAAAAAAAACATTCTTTTCTAACATGATATGTTCTGATTATGGTGTCTGCTCCCTGTACTCCACCTAGTTCCTCCTCATATCCTCTCCTATCTCTCATTAGAAAAAAAATGGGCTTCTAAGAGGTGATACTTAAATATAACAAAATAAAAAATAAGATAACAAAAACAATCGCATCAAGGTTGCACAAGGCAAACCAACAGAAGGAAAGGAGCCCGAGAGAAGGCACAAGAATCAAGGACCCACTTATCTGCATGCTCAAGTATCCCATAAAAACACTAAACTGGAAGCCATAATATATATATATATATATATATATATATATGTGTGTATATATATATATGTGTGTGTGTGTGTGTGTGTGTGTGTGTGTGTGTGTGTATGCGAAAGACCTTTGTGCAGGCCTGTGCATGCTGTCACAGTCTCTGACTTCAGATGAGCTCTGTTCGTGTTGACTTACAGGGCCTTGTAGTCTTAGTGTGCTCCACCCTTCTGACTCTTACACCATTGCTGCCTCTTCTTCCATGGGGGTCCCTGTTCTCTGAGGGGAGGGGTTTAATGGAGACCTCCCCCTTTATGACTGAGTAAGAAAACATCTATCTCCATTAATCTGAAGAGTTTATATTGCAGAGAAATCTATGCAAAAATTAGCCAGAGAACAAGACCAAAGTCAATACAAATATACGGGCTATTCCCCAGTGAAGACTGACCTTACCCAAGAAAAGTTCTAGAAAGATGAGTCCTTAAGAATATATTTTCTGCAACCACTATTGTTGTTTCTAAGATCAAACCAACAACTTCCGATAATCACCTTCATTAAAAATACTTCAAAGCTAAGAGTGCCCTGCTGGCAATAAAGATTCATTTCCAGGCACTGGGTGAAGAAACTCGGTCCATCCTAAAATTGGAGCAGCAAAGCTCAGGCGGTCTGTTGGCAAAGCGCCCTGGGGCTCAAGAGGGTTTGCTGTTGGTAAATCAGCTGCTACTTCCGATAGCTCAGCCGCGTCTCAAGGGTATCAGGTCTCCGCGCTGGTGCCGAATGAACCAGCAGAGCAAATGAAGTCTAAGAATTCGTGAAGGCATAGCTGAAGCCAGGTGCACGCGGTGTGAAGTGCCACACTTGTGTCCCCTCAAACGGGATCGTGTGTCAGTATGCCGCGAGAGCCCTCGCGCAGAGAGCCAGACCGTAGTGTGGGTCTCGACGATCATGGAGGTGCCATCTGGAGGCTGCCTCCTGCAGATGTTTCTGATTTGAAAGCAGAAAGGATGGGCAAGACCGGCATTCTAGAATAAGTCCGTGGTACTGATATGCAAATTGAAGAGCCTGGATGAAATCCGGCCAGCCTAAAGGAAACGAAGCATTTCACATGCAAACTTTCTCAATAAGTGACTGACATATCGGTATGCAGCTCCCTGTGCCCCCCTGCCTTCCGCTGACTTCTTCATCTGAGTAAAGGACAGGTCCTTGAAGCCACTCCAATATCCCTCTTTGACTTGTTACATCAAACAAAACACTTTCTCCTCCAAGCCACTTGCACTTTGGTTCTGTCCTCCAGAGCATACTAGTGGTTTTGATTTGAATACTGAATTTCTCCTCTGGCCTTAGAATCCTGTAATATTTTCAGTTTGAGAGAGCCAAAGGTTCTTTTGGAACCCCTTAATACAGGGGGGAAAAACACTATACTTTCAAATCCTTGAGTTAATATTTCATTTCTGAGAGTATCCAAGATGCAACCGCTGGGGTTGGTGCTTTGGTGCTGAGGAAAAGATCCCAACTCCATGTGACTTGAACAGGAAAGAAATGTGTCTTTCACATAACCAAAAAGCCATAGGAGGAGTGTGGGCTTTGCTTCCACCCAGCCAAAATCCTAGCTGTCGGTCCAGGTGTCACTCAGGGAGACTTGTACCAAGGACAGGGTTCCCCACAAGGGAAATAATCCTAATGGGAACTTCCAGCTGAGTGTCCCCAGAGCCTCCTTGACCAGCACTGGCTTACTGGGTTCCCTTCTCAGGGAGCTCTGCTATGAGGGGCAGGCTAGTCAGGAAGAGAAAGCCTGAAGCCAAGTGCTGCTGTGACGGATACACCGTTTACATAAGCCATGTGTGTCGGTCTTTTTAAAAATGAGGTGAACAAAGTTCTCAGTAGAGGCAGGGCGGAGAGGTAGGAAGGAAGTTCCATGGCAATGTTTAGACTAGACCTGGTCTATGTCCAGTTAGCTTACTTCTGTGAACCTGCCTCCAAACTCCACTCCCAACATACCAGTAATGCACGCCCGTGTGTGCACACATGCACAGCACACACACATACACACCATTTTAAAACTCATAAATAACACCGCCAAATCTATCAGAAAGAAGTCTATTTTAAATTAGCATACTTTAAAGCCCTTTCCATTAAAATAAGCTCTTGAATTGTATAGCAGCCAGCCCTGTGACATCTGTCATTTCAGACTGTATAATGTCATGTATTACTGTCACATTTAATCTTCTTGACAATTTTGATAAAATATTTACCACTATCTTATCTTATGACTGCTATAACTTAAGCACAGAAGAATTGAGACAGTTCCTGAAGTTCTGGAGGCCTTGCCACCAGAAAGAAAGAAAAGTGTAATTCAAATTCAAATCTAACCTATTGACAGCCGGTGCCCTGAGTGTCATTGCTGTTTCATTATTAGCAAATACAAAGTGATAAGAAAAGCTCAGATTCTTTTTTTTTATTGATTTTTATTGAGCTCTACATTTTTATCTGCTCCCCTCCCTGATTCTCCCTTCCTCTTCAACCCTCTCCCATGGTCCTTATGCTCCCAATTTACTCAGGAAATCTTGTCTTTTGCTACTTCCCATGTAGATTAGATCTATATAGGTCTCTCTTAGGGTCCTCATTGTTGGCTAGGTTCTCTGGGATTGTGGTTTGTAGGCTGGTTTTCTTTACTTTATGTTTTAAAACCACTTATGAGTGCGTACATATGATAATTGTCTTTCTGAGTCTGGGTTACCTCACTCAAAATGATGTTTTCTAGCTCCATTCATTTGCCTGCAAATTTCAAGATGTTATTTTTTTCTCCTGTGTAGTACTCCATTATGTAAATGTACCACACTTTCCTTATCCATTCCTTGATCAAGAGGCATTTAGGTGTTTCCAGGTTCTGACTATGACAAACAATGTTGCTATGAACATAGTTGAGCACATGTCCTTGTGGCACGATTGAGCATCCTTTGAATATATACCCAAAAAGTGGTATTGCTGGGTCTTGAGGAAGGTTGTTTCCTAATTTAAGAAATTGCCATACTGATATCCAAAGGGGCTCTACCAGCTTGCACTCCTACCAGCAATGCAGGAGTGTTCCCTTTACACCAGAACCTCTCAGTGTTTTTGATCTTGACCATTCTTACAGGTGTAAGATGTAATTTGCATTTCTCTGATGACTAAGAAAGTTTAACATTTCCTTAAGTGGCTTTCAGCCATTTTAGAGTCCTCTCTTGAGAGTTCTCTGTCTAGGTCTGTACTCCATTTTTTTTTTTTACTGGATCATTTGTTCTTTTGGTGACCGATTTCTTGAGTTTTTTGTATATTTTGGAAATCAGACCTCTGTCTGATGTGGGGTTAGTGAAGATCTTTTCCCATTCTGTAGGCTGTCGTTTTGTCTTGCTGACCGTGAAAGCTCAGATTCTTAAAGATGTCCATCTCTGGTGATCTTACTATAATCTGTGTGTCTTTTTGATGACCATGTTAGTGGCTTCACCAACTCCCTGAATTTAAAAGAAAAATGCTAGTAATTCCTGCTAACTGTTCACATGGAAACCTTGAGGACAAAGAAGGAAAAGCCTATCCCATGCCTCTGCTGCTAGAGTTCTCAGAGAGACCTGTCTTCTACACACATAAAAAAATATGGACTAAACTTTAAGCCTTTCTGATGGCAAAATAAAAGACGGGCGATAGAATTTTCTACAGAGGTGCTGATGCAAGCATCACCATTGTCCGTGATGTCACGCTGCATGATAGCACACATCTTAATCTGGAGGAAGCAGTACAAACACTCTTAAAATGAAAATTATATCTGTATTAAGCTATTTCTACTCACAGAGCACCTCCAATAACCCTGATTCTTCACAGGCATTCTAAATTATCACTTACCATAACCCTATTAAACACACACTTAGAGTAGATAAAGATAACTATGTGTCTACCCACCAAGCACTCGCTGAAGGCATAAAGGATTTTCAATTTTTCTTTTTTTTTTTCAAAAAGAAAAGAAGATATATATATAACAATGTCTGACCCAATGTGATTAATCTATTCAGCTAATATTTACTAATGCGCTGAGCACTATTCTAAAACATGACTGAGCTGGAACCACAGACAAAAAATAATGGTAACATCTGTGTGTGCCTCACAGAGTTCAAGGGCCAGAAGTGACGGGCAGCCGTGGGAATGGACAGAGTCGTCAAAGAAGGGCTTCTCCGAAGAGAGAGACTTGATTTTTGAGAAACCTTTCATTTAAACAGGGAAGAAGAAGGCAAGACAAGTTGTGAATCCTCTAAAATCCAGAACCTTAGAGCACTAACACAGATGGGAAATCTACTCCTGGCCTCATATGACACATTGCAGTAGAAACACAAGCACAATAAAAGATACTGTATAAAATCAATGTGTAGGGTGTGTGTACAGGACTCATGTCTAAAATAAAGGTAGTTTGTGTGGTGCCTCGTCCCCAAAATATCAAATCCAAAGTCAGCTCTACCCCCTAAACATTTCGGGTGAGGGATAGGCACCTGCAACTTAAAACAAACGTTAATACTTTCCACCAGTGCAGAGGAACCCAAGCAGAGCATTCTACACATAAGAATTCTTTAGCGTACCTGGCAGTGGTGGCTTCCTCCTGTCCTGTCAAGGGTCATCTAGTAAAATCTGCGATGGTGGGTGACTATCACTACAATCTTAAAGGAGTACGAACCATTGGCATTCTGCTAGAACACTTAAATGGCAGATTTCTGTGTGAGCTATATGGGGATGTAAGGGTCTGTGTATGATTGGAACTTTTTTTTTTTCATTTTAGGGAGAGAAGGGAGCTGTGGGAGAGCCTGGACCCAGAGGACCCTATGGGCTGCCTGTGAGTTCATATCATGTGATCGCCACCCTCAGCATGTTCCTGTGGCCTGCCACTGACATGGTTAACCCTTCCTAGTGGGCACACTAATCTCATTATAGGAGCAAAGGCAATTCAATGAGCAGTCACCAATACAGGGGCTTCTGAACTACAGTTAGGTCATCCTCAGTCTCAAATGGTTCCTGCACACACAGACACACCCAAGCATGTCATATGATTGAAGATCAGAGACAGGGGGCTAAAGATAACTAACAGGAAGCCAAGGTCCTGCCGGACAGATGCCACCCTTCCGTTGCCTTCTGAGTGGGCATCCATAACTGGCACTCCCTTGAAGGGCCACTTGTGTCACTTGGATGGGAAAGTTTCATTTAGAACAGCCTTTATTCCTTGTCTATTCTCCTAGACTATTAGCAAAAAATTATCTTGCAAGTGGAAATTATGATCCAAATTGAATTGCTACTCATGATGACAGTGTTTCTGATCTGTCTAAATCTTTGAGAGGACAGATGGCCTTCAGAACATAGAAGGTTGGCAGTGTTCTGTCTTCTAAATTCCGTACCTTGCAGAAGCAATCTGAGGCCACAGGTTTCTGCAGAAATGACCTGCACTGTGGTTCCAGTCAGTTGCGTAGGGTAGGACTCAAAAGAGCATGTATTGCCTTTAGGTTTTTAACCTGCCTGTACTTTCCACAGATTTTTTTATGAACTCAGATAACAAACTTCACTCACAATCATTTCAGGGCTTAACCAGGTGCTCGCTTTGAAACAGATGTCAAAGTGTACTTAATGGAACGAGTTTAGCTGTTGGGAACTTTGGGCGGAGCATAGTCTGATTCCGCATTCCCAACATGCTGGGGTGAAGTTACCCTCTTGTGTAAATAGTCAGACCAACCCTCTTAGGAATTCCTCTTTTACAAAGCTCACTGTAAAACTGCTTCTGAAGTTGTGATGTTCACACTCCTTATATTTAAGGTGATTGTCTAGCCAAATTCAAACTATATTTCATGATAGACAGTGTTTAGGTTCTCCATTAATTGAAAAGCTGAGTTATCAAACTAAAGGAACATTGATTTACATTTTTCATTAGTGTTGGTGTGCTTTTTAACTCAACTAAACATTTTTTGTTGTGTTTTGTTTTGCACTTCCTTAATAATCAGCTAAGTCAGACCATGCATAGAATTTGAGCAAAATTACTTGTTTAACCCAGTAAAGAATTTAAATCCCTCATGCCCCATAACTTCAACTAACAGTCCCCTCACTTGATTTTTTTAAAGAAATCTGACTAATCAAGGACCCTTTTTCACAATTCTAGCATAGTCCTTCTAACACTAATGTTGCATGCCCAGAGCAGCCTTTAAACAAGAACCTACTGATGAAACGCAGGAACACTAATGTAGCTATTATGGTTCTTTGGCAGGGTAAAAATGGAGAGCCTGGTCTTGATGTAAGTAATCTACACAGCAAACGTCCTCCAATTATAAGAGATACATTCAATGGTCTCCATCATCAGGGAACACCAAGAATACAGAATATTTTGTCTGTGCATGTGTTATGCACGTACACACACACACACATGCACACACATGCACACCATATATAATTACTGTGCACATAGATAGCAATATAAAATATACTAGTATTTGCACAACATAAACAAAGGAAAAATAATTAAAATAAAATTAGTAGCCTGACACTGGTTAGTGGTACCTCAAAATCCTTTCCTAAATTAAGGATGCTCAGCATCAGTATGACCCAGTTATGGAAAAAATAACCACATATCAAGTCAGTCTGCCCCTCATGTGCTGCCCTTGGGGAATGGCGTTTTGTCAAAGCTGTTATTATGCAGTGTTCTTTTTTCTTTTGCCATTAAGTCTCTACGTGCATTTTCTCTTATGCCAAAAGATTGTGTAACAATACAGACTGTCTAAAGCAAATGCCCCTAGGAACAGTCGCTGCTGGTTGTACCATGTGAGTAACGAAGTTGCAGTAGCTGCCATTTATTGAGCACCTGCTATGTGCAGGCATCATTCTGGCACTTTGCATCCACCATCATTTAACATCCACCACAGCTGTGTGGTAGTCATGAACCTCATTTTATAGTCAAGGGACTAAAGGGCAGAGGTAAGTGACTTGCCCAAACCCACACAAGTCAGTAAATGTGCCAGGATCCAAATTAGCATTCCTGTGTTCTTTCTCCTGCATTGTTGGGAGAAGAAAAAAAGCAAGGACCCTACTTGCATAGCTCATTGAGATGGTAGAAAGTACTGTTTCTAAGTGCTACTGTTCTTTGTAAGTCTAAAGATTGACATGTTCTTTCTTCTATCTGAGTGCAGACCAATGAACTATGGTAGCAGCAGCAGCGGTGTTAATTTTGATATGATCTTGCCATGGTCACACCAATGGCTAACTTGAGTTTGCTTTTCACCCCCTAGGGCTTCCCTGGTCCTCGAGGCGAGAAGGGTGACCTGGGAGAAAAGGGAGAAAAGGTGACTTCTCCCAGCATGCACCTTGGGTGTTTCTGCTAGTACTGTCTGCTCTGCTGCTGAACCTGTGTGATCCCATCGTACACCTTTCTTGTCTCACTCCTGTGTTCCAAAAACATACAGATGGCTGATCTAAGGAATCAGGTCTTCAAAGAAGACTAAAGAAGGCTACCCAGCTAGAAATGAGGGCACATCCAGCATAGAAGGAAGATTCTGACCCCTGGATATCAAAGCTACCGTCTTTCAACTGCCTGACCCCGATTTTTTTAATGTAATGTCTAGGGGGGTTGAACATTTTTTTCACAAAAGTAAAATCACATCACACAAACCTCAGTGATGTTTTGGCAAAGCCCATCTCATCTGCAGACCAGTATCTCATTTATATACATGATATTCCTAGGAGAGAGACTGCTGCATGGGACGTTTTGATTTTTTTTTTAATTTAGAGGTAGAAGGCAAGCATTGTGACTGAGAGACCACAGTATTCCTGCTATGCAGAAGCTACTCTGTTAGCTGTAAAGCCAATAGTTATAGGCTTTTTAGTGAAGACATTGGTTATTTTATGGGTTGGTATTAAAGATCTCTTGGGACCATCAGTCAGCTCCATAGGTTATAGGGGCCGATAGTAAACAACATGATTTTATAAACTAAAGAAAAGTTTGGATTTTAAATTTTAAACATCATTTTCTCCATTTCTCTTTAGTTCTGTTCTGTCTGATTCTCTCTCTCTCTCTCTCTCTCTGGTTTTCTATAGTCTTTAGTAGATAAGTTTTTATATTGGATGAAACGAACAGCAACAAAAACTCAATAATGAAAACCTTAAAGTGTTTGACTATGTACCTCACGATTCCAGTTTAAACCAGATCTCCTCCTTCGATTAATTCATGCCCTGATATACTTGGCAATGCATTGCTTTTTCAAACCCAGTAAACTCTCTTGAACAGTGAAACTCTGGTATGCCAAAGAAAGGGCATGCAGCCTGCTGCATATGTTTTAAGAGTTAAGTCACTCAGCCGGGCAGTGGCGCACGCCTTTAATCCCAGTACTCAAGAGGTAGAGGCAGGTGGATCTCTGTGAGTTTGAGGCCAGCTTGGTCTACAAGAGCTAATTCCAGGACAGGGTCCAAATCTACAGAGAAACCCTGTCTTAGGGGGAAAAAAAAGAGTTAAGTTACTCAGCTTCTCACTTTTCACTGATAAGAGTCCACACAGTGGGGCTGGAGAGATGGCTCAGAGGTGAAGGTCCTGAGTTCAATTCCCAGCAACCACATGGTGGCTCACAACCATCCGTAATGGGGTCTAGTGCCCTCTTCTGGCCTGCAGGCATACACACAGACAGAATATTGTGTACATAATAAATAAATAAATATTTAAAAAAAAAAAAAGAGTCCACACAGTGGTCAACCCAAAGCACCGCCATCAACAGCATCTCATATGTTGAGCACGTGTGCATTCCTTTCCCCAAGAGCTTTCTACACGATAACCCTTGACATCTTCACATCGCCATCCTGCGGTGGTGCCATCCCCTCCCCACTTTACAAACAAGGAGAAGTATGCCCTAAAACGTTCTCATTATAAATCCCGGCTACAAGCATTGTGTGACTGGAGATCAGTTTTGTGCGGGACCATAGGACACAAGGCACATTGTCTTAGAGGCTATGTTTGTTCGCTTACTTTATACTTACCTAGTAGGTAGTACGAATCTAACATCTTACTCAAGAAAAAAATACCATGCGGTACAAAATTTTATGCTCTTTAAAGAAGTTAGAAATCACCAGTATTGGCTCAATGGTAGAGACCTTATCTAGCATGTGCAGGGCCCTGAGTTCATTCCCCTGGCCCTGCAATGAAGAGGATGAGGAGTGTATGCGCGTGAGAAGAGAAATTCCCATCAGTGTGGCTTATAAAACCACAAGCTCACAATCCCATCCTCAGAAAAATGCATAATCACCCATATGAAAATATTTCCATGCTTAGAAGTTTTGTATTCAGGAAAATCTGATTCTGAATATTTGTGTTATCTTTTTCTTTAATCTAAGAAGTAAAAATTGACAATAATTATCACATTCTAACGGCTCATACACACAGTGAGAGATAGGTCACTTTGTGGTACATAGATACACACTTTATATCATGTGATGCTGGTTAATAACACTGACATTGTATTATTCTAATGTCTCTTTCATAAAGCTTGCTGTTCACTAAAATTTTAACAACAAATATAACATTGCCTATCACGGAATTTGAGTAGTTAATTTAAACCCATTTGACAATCAAATCATGAATTCCAGTTAACCAACATGCCTGGCCTCACTTAGACCTACTCAAAGATGGGTCCATGGCTCCATAGAGGGAAGAGCACACCCAAAAAGTTTCAGTTTATGTCGTGGTTTGGAAGCAACTTGGTGTGGGAGGTACTGAGTCTCCATGAATGAGGGCTTCTGAGGGCATCACCCGTTTCTTCCATACCTGCTTTTTCTTCACCTTTTCCTGTCACATCTTTGTCTTCCTTCGTGCACAGCTAAACCACACAGAATTTCGTTCCCCTGTATTCAAGAAGCCCAAGTGGTTTCGATTTCAAGCCTTCTGCTGCAGTGTTTTTGGCACACGGGAGAGGAACAAGGAGGAGCTTCGCTTCGGCTCGCGCTGTCACAATGAGTGTTCTAATTTGAATGGGTGTCTCATACATGTCTGTGGTGTGGGTTGTTCTGTCTTTTCTCTTTGAATATTCATGCCGCTTGCTTCAAAGACTGTTCGGTTTTATTGTAACTGCCATCCAGGCTGTAGAGCGAATGTTCTCATTTAAGTGTGTATCTACGTATCATCTTCTGCATTCTGCACCGCGCCAACTCCCTGTCTATGTGTTTGCAGATGTGTACGTTAATGTAAAACAGCTGGGGTGCATTCCTTCCTTCCCCTCCTTTTGCCTCCTTTCCTCAATTCCTCCATCCCTATGATCCGTGCAGACACCCCACAACCTTGACCTTGATTCCCAAATACTAATTCCCACAGCTACATTCCCACTGTATAATTATCCTGCCTACCTCATCTTAATGAGCCCAGACTGCTTTTCCTATCTGCAGCACTGTGCGCTGGAAACTCATTTACCACTGTGAACACTGACACGGGGTCTACAAGAGATGGGAGAAGACCACCTAGGTCTACAGATGTCGGTTTCTCCAGTCGGCACTGCTGCCGAGGATTAGCACCTGAAACTTTCAATAAGTCGAGTATTCACTTTTATGTTTGCTGGGAAGAAAAAAGTGAAGCCCCATGAAAGCCCATTTTAATACCAGAAAATGTTCTAATATTGCTGAGAGCTGTAAAATAGGGTTTGATTGAACATCCCTGTGAGAGACTGAAGATGTTGTCTCTCCCTCTGAGTCTGTGCAGACAACATATGTTAACAAATAAGCAGGGGAAAGGCAAGTTGAAAGGTACTCACAGTTGGGTGGAGTATCCATTACCACCGCCCACTCCACCTGCTACTTTGTACCATTGATACCCGCCATCCACAGCACAAATCCCTAATTCACATTTGACTCCAATATTATGGTGGTCAGCACTGATCTGGGACTGGAGAGATGACTCAACAGGTAAGAGCACTGCCTGCTCTTCCAAAGGTCCTGAGTTCAATTCCCAGCAACTCCATGGTGGCTCACAACCATCTGTAATGAGATATGGTGCCCTCTTGAGGTCAGTCATCCTCATCAACTTAGACCATAAAACCCAATATGGAGAAGTTCAACAGAATTGCCATATATATGGCTGCCCATGCATGCTTCAGCATTGCCAGGGCATAAATTCCATTTTTTTCAAATTCAGCACTGATCTGCCTTTCTGATGCACCAGCCCTTTTGGTCTCCTTCTTCTTGTTTGGATGGATGGATGGATGGATGGATGGATGGATGGATGGATGGATGGATGGATGGACGGACGGATCCATAGATCCATTGTTACCAGAATCCATTGTCACCATGGCAATTTTTTCATAGCATCGCTCTTTATGTCAGAAAACAGTGGTAAATGCCCTTCCAGACTATTCTTAGCTAAACCATATTTTGAATCATTTTTATTCTACACCCCACCCAAATAAAATCTGTCTTTTATTTAAACCCTTGTATTCACAGGGGGAAAAGGGAAAGAAAGGCAAAAAGGGGCCTAAAGGGGAGAAAGGAGAACAGGGCGCTCCTGGATTAGATGCACCCTGCCCGTTGGTATGTCTAACTCGTGCAACTGTATCCAGATGTTTTGTGTGAGGGGTGAGATGGGAGAGGAACAGGCCAGAGGGACCAGTAACAGCAGGTTCTCAGGAGGGCCATTGAACATGGACCTACAGACGGGTGCTCAGGATGCACAGATGTGCCTCACATCTTGTTGCCAGCCATTCTCGCTACTCTGTCTCTAAACTCTCATACAGGCTGGAGCCTGACTATAGGATGTGAAGAAGGGCCAACGCCATTGCATACCCTTCCACAGAGGAGGCTGTGGTCTCCTGACAAGGCCTCGTCATGATGATGCGAACCGTCTCTGCATGTTAAGTCCCTTCTAAATTGTTCCTTTCCCAACTTTTTCTTCTAGTTGTTTCTTTTAGCAGATGTTTGCCTTCAGTGACTTCTTGGATTAGTAACGTTATGAGTTAATCTTTACAAACAGGGATTCCGTGGCGTTAAGGGGGAAAAGGGGGAGCCAGGCCAGCCTGGCCTGGATGGGCTGGATGCCCCTTGCCAATTGGTACAGTATTTCTCTTTCCTACCATCCTGCATGCCATTCCTTTATTCACTATGTATTCGTCTGTATCAGTGTAAAGCGCTTCTTTCTGGAGTAAGCTTTACATGATAAACATACTACATGCATGTGCATGAGCGGGCTCCTCCCTGGGCTCTGCAGAGGGGAGAGAGCAAGCATGTGTTATCAACAAATGTAAATTAATCTTCTAACATTGTTCTCACTACTGACGTGTCCATCTCTATGTTCTTTGGAATATTAACTTATCCAATACATATTCAGAGATTATTTATGAGTTAGATCAAAATACATGATGCAAAGGCACTGGTAGGCCAGAAATTTGGACGATTACCCTACTTAACTTTTTCCTGTCCTCTGAAAGAAATAAAGATGTTTTTGTCTCTCCCATTACAGTTTTATCAGGGCCATAAACGAGGCCAAACCTACGTAACGAAGCTTCTGTGGTCAGGAGTTAACCAATCCGAAGCAACGTTATTAAGAGACCGTAGAAAAGAAAGCAACTGCCCTGCATATCTAAAGATGATCATTGACTGCAGCCCAAACCCTCTTCTCTGTCACATAACCTTTTCGACGTAATGGTCTCTCCCTGTAAAACTCACTTTCCCGAAGTAGACAAAACTCCCTCCTTCATTGGCATGAGCTCAAAATCCTCCTTATACTAAAATCTAAAATTCTACTGGCTGACCCTTTTCCTGGTACCAATCTGGCATCACCAATTTCTCCCAAATATGTTACTAAGTTAAATATTTTTTACAATAAAAAGGGTAGCGTAATTATATTTTGAGGAGTATAAAGGCAGCTTTTTATCATCGTGTTCCACGTGGTCTGCATGACCTCACATAGTTCTTCAGTTATAAGCATGATTCGTTAAAGGGAAATGTATATTTTGTGAGTCTTTTAAGAGATTGTGTGTATAGAAAAAATATTATTCAGTCAACTGTGATAGTTAGAACATGTTAATACGGAGAACTCTTGTCTTTTGTTTGCTTGTGTTGATAAGCCACGTTTTATAAGCCCCTTCATTGGAGGGAAATGCATGCCTTCGACATGTCATATCTTCCAGTCTCGTGTGTATCTGAAGATGCTTCCACCTTCAAATGCATTCTGTAGTATTTAGAAACCTTCATTCGGAATGTTCACCAGCTTCTGAAAAGCTCAACAGAAGCGCTGGCAAACACAATGGATGGCATCTACTTTAATTTGCAGACAGACTGCCGGGTTTCAAATGATTATATTTTGTAATATCCACTGGCATACAGAGAACTATAAACTTCAGATAGAAATGCTTTGCCATTGATTGCCAATGCCAAAAATCATAGTCCCTAGTGGCCCCAAGGAAATGAGGCTCTGACTTATTTGGCAACGATGACTGTGAGATGTTTTGATGGCACTAAGAGGTGCCATGCACTGTGCAGATGTCTTATCTAAAGCTCTGCCTGTGAGCAACACATGAGACAACTGCGCTTTGTACATTCTGTCATTCATGTCTTTTCTAGAGGTGTGCTCAGTCTGGAAAGCATTCGAATTACATTCATTTTAACTACAATAGGTAAAATATCATGAGCTACTGCTTAGTATAAGATGCCTATGACTGAAGCCACCTGATAGAAACTATTTTTGAAGCCTCTTGGCATGTCGACTTACATATCTGATTACTTATAAGAGCCTAAGGAATTCTTTTTCTTCCCTTCAAATCCAGGGACCTGATGGATTACCCATGCCTGGCTGCTGGCAAAAGGTAGGTAGGCCTTAAGGGTTTTTTTTTTTTTTTCTAAAAAGAAACCCTAATATTGACCAGGCCCTTTCCATTGCAGAACAGACCTTTTACATTTGACATTATTGAAAACCAGGTATTTCAAAGCAAATATGCCAGCTCTGGTCAATTTTTTGATGAATGTGTTTAAACTGATTTCCATCCAAACCCATGGGCAGAAAACAAACTATAATCTTGGCAAACTATGATCTGGAACCTCAAGGTCATTGTTTGTGATGGAAAGGCGCCATGTATCTGATAAGATTGTTTGGCTCTCTGCCAATGAACTCTTTCCTCCTATTGTTTAAAAATTATTTTAAATGTGACTTTTCCCTGTATCTGTTGCATTGACAAAAGTGCAGATATATGGTTGAACCCTGTGCATAGCAGTCACACAACTGGGAAAGCAGAAAATATAAACACTTATCAGTGATGTCTCGACTTATTTAGTAGTGTCTACTTAAGTCTATGCTGGCATCCTTTATATTGGTTTGTTTAATCCTCATCACATGACTGCCCATCATCACTGTGAATGTATTTAGTTCAAATGGCTCAACCCAGAGAACCTTCTGTGCACAAGGCTATATGCCATGCCCTATTGTGTCCATTAATCCATATAGTAGCCTACGCATGAGTAATAGAAATTTGGAAACATGAAGAAACCTCCAAGAGCAGCAAGCTGGTAGGTAGCAAGGCTAGGAAGGAGAAACATCAGGCAGTAGCGGTAGCATTTCAAGCAGACAGACGGAACTCTGTGCATTCTGCACTGCCCCGGGAGTGAAGACGTTTTACACAGTGATGCTGTGACCCCAGTATGCAGGTTACTGGAGGGCAAAGAAATGCCTAGAAAGAGCAATGTGATAAGGGAAGCATCCAGGGTGCTTCGATGGCTCTGAAATTTTATCTCCAATACTTTGTAGCTTATCCAGTAATTGTAGCCAACCACATGTCATTTGGAAAATTAGAACAAACCATGTAAGCCAGCGTGTGGAAACATGAGGAGACATTGGGTTCTTGGTTGCCTCTCAAGTCAGCAACTCAACCATCAGGAAATCTTCTGTGATTTGCTTTCTCAACTAACTTCACACACTTAGCTGGGGACAAAAACGCCTCCCCTCATGGCAGCGTCTTTTATTTATTAGCTTCCCAGCTCTCCTTTGAGCCTATCAGATAATTAACTCAGTTGCATCTGAGGTCAAGAGGGTCTCTGGATAGAGATGCCCTCATCAGCGCCTTCCTTAGCCTCCTGCCGGCTTACCTGCCGTGCACAGACATTGTAATGCCATCCTATGCAGGGATGGCCATTTGCTCTCTATCCTCTCTGCTGTAATTCAGTGAGATGATTTTTTTTTAAGCTGGTCATTAGCACACTGCACCCAGAGATTTCCCCTAACACTGGGCACCACTTAAAACTTGGAGTCACTGTGGTCTGGGACAATTCTAAATCATTTTCTTTTTCATAAAGAGATAGATGTAAGACCAACAAGTGAAAGGCTTTTTTCATCTCGTTAGCCCCTGAAATGAAAACCCAGTAGTAACACAAATACTGTGACTGAACCGGAATTGTCCATAGAAATATTCAGCTTTCTATTAAATAGGTACTATATTCTACATAAGATTGAGAATCTCATGAATGTGACCTCTCCTGCAAAGAAAAATAACCCAATTATAAAACTTGGGTATTGCTTAGAACCTCCACACAGCACATACAAACTCCAATCAACATCTCCCCTCTCCTGATAGCAACGAAATAATCAGAAAAAGGAAAATTTCTCAGATTTCTTCGATAGACAATTTAGATATCTCAAATAGTCAAGTAATTTTTTATTTATATGTTCTAAATAAAGCATGTAGGTGGCTTTTGGCTAGTCCTGTTTTATTTGGGCCATCCGGTATAAACATGTTTGTGGCATTTTAGTGTCTTATTAGCATATACTAATTACACATAATGGATCCATTATGACGTTTTCATACATGTATCTAGTATATTTTGGTCATATTCGCCCACCCGTTACTTTCTCCTGTCTCTCCCCTCCTCCCATTGATTTCCTTTCCAGCTAAGTCCCCCTGCTATTTTGATGGTCTAATGAATTTCATTAGGTCACTCAGAGAAGCATCGTTAGAGGGTTGTTCACAGGAGGACGGGCACCTTAACAGTGGTTAGACTGTTTAAGACAACGTCTCCCCATCAACCAGCAACTACATATAGATCCTCCGTGATCCAATATTGACAGGTTCGTTCTTACGCAGTTAGGGTGTTATTAATGCACTCATTGAAAGGGGAATCTGGACGATTTACCTGTGGAAGGCGGGCCAGAAGGCAGCCATCACCCCGCTCCCCTCTGCCACTGTACTTTTCTCATTGATTTTTCTTTGAGTAAAACTAAAGGAAGCGCCAGACATGGTGGCACATGCCTTTAGTTCCAGCTCCCAGAAGGCATACAGAGCGCTGTGAGTTCAAGGCCAGCCTGAGCTATACAGTGAAACCCTGTCCCCCCCCCAAAAAAAAATGAGCAAAATGAAACAAAATTCTAAAGAAGTCTCTAAGATCTGCTCTGTAAGCTAATAGCCCAGTGAAAACGGCTTCTTAGTCTGAGTTGATGGCAGTTCTGGAAAGACCTTCTAAATGAGGAACCAAAGATTGGGGGGGGGGGGGGATTTGTTTTGTTTTGTTTTTTTGGTCACGGTGTGGAACTGATAGCAGGCAGGTTTGTCTTGTCAGGTGCCTTTCAGGGCAAGACTAGTTATAGGGCAAAGGGACCGTGACTAGGAAATGCGTGTGTGTTCTACGTGCAGGAAGCTGTAGGCTAATATGCCTTTGAACTTAGACCCTTTGGCCATTATTAGATTTTGTTACCATGCCTGGAGACATCGCGTGTAGTAATGGAAGCACACCTGAAATAAAAACCACAGTTTTCTGCTTTCCCAGCACAGTGACTAATACAATCACTTCTCATAAAGCTCTTGGTTGGCCATGGAAAAATGGGAGTTGGAACTAAGATGAGAATCATGGTAAACTGGAGTTTTAAACAGCATGATATGGGAAACATCGGATGATCAAATTGGCTTGCTGACCTAAAGAAAAGACTACAGGGTTCTGCCAGTGTTTGCAAAATAAACGTTAATTTGGAATTTTTATCAAAGTTACCACTAACTCCACGTGTGTCTGTTTGTTGTCTGTTTTTCTGCAGTGATGAATCTAACCTTCCAAGCATGAAGTTGTGTATATAATGGTCCACCTGTTATATTTATAGTTGAAAAACTGTGACTCGCAGATTTTTGCAAGTATGGGATCTGCTCCCCCGGCACTGTTTCTCCCTGTTCACAGTAGTACAGACGCCCATCTCTTCTCACATCTGAAACTAGGCAGTGTACGGAAGTGAGGAGGCCACAGGAAATATATAACTCAGTGTCTCTATTTTACGTGAACATACGTATTTATAGGGACATCGGTGACAAAGAATGATTGCCCGCGCTCGTTTCCTATTTGGAGCTTGTTGACCGCATGGACAGAAAGTGCCATGAAATAGTTTACATGAAATCGTGACCAAATATGGACTCAAAGCTATGAACATGTAGCACACATTCCCTAGGAACACCCATTCGCGCCCACCCCGCCTGCTGAAACCTTCTAAAACCAGCATGACCCTGTGCCAACCCTGTTTGTGCAAATGCAGACGCTTGCATGCCGCCTCACGAGTGCTCTGACTACAGCTGAGCCTTTGTTCCTTTTGTCATCTCAAGGGGGTTACACCGTGGCTCATTGCCAAAAAGAGATAAGTTGCTGGAGAACACACGCACAGTTGGTCTTATATTTTGAGGGAGCTGCAGTCCCGACTGCAGATCCACAGATCCTAACAATGTGGGCTTCCTGTGACCGCCTTGGTTGAAAAAACCGAAGGGTTGAGTGGGATTTCTGCCACTTGTTTTCCTTGGGCTGCGCTTGGCAGTGAAGACGTCGGAAGAGGACCCGGTTCAGCATCCTGCACTGTCTCTCGTGTGACCGAGTTGGAAGGAGATTTATAACCACGGAAATCCAGAGGGGCGGGAATTGTTTTTCTAGATGAACTGACGTCCCAGGGGTGTTGATCTCGGTGCTTTGGGAAAAAGTCAGAGGTATTGCAGCTGTGTTTCCGAGACAGCGGAGCCTTGGAATGGAAGCCCCTGTTCGTGCAGTTGGAAAGGTGCAGACTTGCCATCAGAGCTCGGGGTGCTGAAGAGAGACCGTGTCCCGAGAAGGGATCGGACAGAATAAGATGTGCTTCAAATGCCGGGGAATCCTTAGTGCTGGCTCTACCAAAGGTAGCCGGAAAGTGTCCGTCTCTCCCTTCCTTCTGGGGTTGACACACACCAATCGGTTTTTTTTTTTTTTTTTACAAGTTCCAGAAACAAACTGTAGTTCCATTCTTTCTCATACTTTTTGTTTTCTTAGGAACAGAAACTATTTGCTTCACTTTGGGCCTCATAGGTTTTTAAACATTATTTTTTAAAAAAAGTTTTCAAATCGTGTAATGGTTTGAATCCAATAGTAAAAATAACCTTACCATCTCCTTATTTTGTTTAAGATAATTGAAGAGATTATAAGAAGGCTTCATTTTTTTTACTTAATTCATCATAAAGTATGACAATTAAGCATTTTTTACTACTTTTTGATTGACGTTGACAAATTTGTTATCAACGTGAAAGTCAAGATTTTATCACATTTGATAGCATGAACTTGCTTCTTCTAGTTTTTTTTTTCTATATTGAAGTTTATTTCTCGAGTTTTGTTTTTACATTTCTAAGTGTTTGTCTTATCCACAGACCAAATCTGAGATCTCAGAAAGCCCTGGAATATAGTTGCCAGAAAAGGTCTTGTTTTTACTGACTTGCTCAAAACATACCAATGCAGACTTAGACTGGGCAATTCCTTGCTGAGCTGGTGGCATGTTTTGAAATGACTTACTCTAAGTGGAAGGGTGGTCTGGAGAAGCACCATCCGTGGAAGCAGTGATCCTAGCAGCCCCTTAGGGAATTTCATTTCCCTCGGTGATTGAATGTCATTTTTCTGGGGACATTTTGAGCTCAGTGTTTAGATTTTCACCACCAGAAGGGAAATTAGTTCACGCTTAGGCTTATAACAGTGAAGATACAATTTCAAAACAGATCTTAAGATGTCTTTCCTATCGTGTAACCAAATGCTCAGTCATACAAAATGATGTCATCTTTTTCCTTTGTCATTTCTGAGATTAGAATTTAAATGTTAGATCAGACTATCTAGTAATATTTCTAATAACATTCCACACTCCTAAGCCAATTCAGCATTTTTTCTTTTTTTTTTTTTTTTTTAGTGAAGAGTGTTTCTAACAATTTCTTGTATGATTATGTTTAGGGTAAGGTGTTTCACAATAAATGAAACAATTCGTCTTAAATCATTTGGATCACAGAAATGAGCCCAAGATGACACATTATCTTCAGAAACAAAAAACAAAATAACTGTATATAAGATCTTGAGGACAATCTGGTGACTATACTTCCTCCTATCTTCCTTTCTGTTTCTCCACCAGAAAGAGGTATTGAGAGGGATTATTATTTCAGATTTAGAGAGATTCTAATGATGGTTTTGTTGTTGAACTAGTTTCATTAAAGTATTGGACACGCCCCTGAAGAAAAGCACTGCACAGCGTGTGTGCACTGGGGTTTTCCTTGTAAGGCACATTTGAAGGAATGTGTAAACTTCTATTTCTGTACTTCCTTGGAACAAACAACAGGATGATGGTAGTTCCCTGTGCTCAGTGGATTGCTAGGTTACCCGCCATGAGTTAACCTTGAGCTTTGGACTATGAAAACATATTTAACTCATCCATTTTGTCATCTAACCAAGTAATTTCCAAAGGAATCAGTAATGGATTATTGTGTCGATACATATGTTTATAGATTGCATTCTTTTTCATAAAGACTTTTTTAGGGAAATGAAGAAAAAAAGGGTATGGGACACTCACTGGAAATACGTCAAGGTCAGGTTTTACTTCAGAGACATTGCCTCTCTCCACTGTTTTCCATTAGCCTCGGTTGCTGCTGGGAAATACCCTTCCTTTTTATTTCAGTGGATAGTTGACCTCTACTGTGGGCGATTTTATTTCTGTTTAATGGCATTCCTACGCTGTTATTGTGTGGCTTTATTTTTGAAGTCCATAAATCTGTTGTAATGTAGTTCGATGACCAGCCTTTCCTCATGTAAAACAGCCTTCTGTGGTGCCCCTTATCCTGTGTTCATCATATATACCACATGCCTTTATCGGTTTTCATTTTCCTTTTTTTTTTTTTTTTTTTGAGTTCCTTCACCTTCCAGCTTACACACTGTAAGCTTGCCTGATGCAGCCAGTGCTAGAAAAGTCTGCACGCGACACATAGGGTAACTACATATGCCTGAATCCCTCCCATCTTTCCTTTCCCGTTATCAAATGCAGCCTTGCCGGGTTTTTCCTTTTCCTCTTATTTTATGGAGAATATTGGAATGTCTCTCACTCCTACCAATAGAAAGTTCTTGGCTTTAGCTTTATACTCTGAGTATCTGATGTGTTCGTGGGCAGTATGCATGTGTGTACTTTGTGTGTGCATCTGCTATCTTAAAAAAAAAATGGTCAGATCACCATTCTGTACTTTTGGGGAAATTGTCCTTAGTATTTTTGTCATTTAGGAAATGTGCCTATTTGCCAAGTATTCTTTAACATAACAAAATAACACTTTAATCCCCCTCTCACTATATTTGTCTGAGAGTTCAGCATCTTCTCGAAAGTGGTCATGGGAAACTTGGACGCTGACATCAGAAACTTTGATTTTCTTCCTTTCTTGATGATATTCGGATTATTTTAATGTTTAATGCCTACCAAAACATAGAATTTAATGATTTTTATAATAATAACAAAAGTCCTACTATTTCGTAAGGCTTCTTGGTGCCTTATCATTCCAAAAATACTAAAAATGGCCAGCTGTGATCCCAGGGGTTGAGAGGTCTGACCAGTTAAAATTCCGCCAACCTGTGTTCAGATGTAAAGGCCCTCTGTCCCTACTTCTGTTCTCTTAATGCGTCTTCTCACCCAGAGGCACTCCTCTAACTTAGGTTGCTGGTGAAATTATTTAGGGTTTTGGTTACTTCTATAATAACAAACATTTTAATGGCTTCTTTTTCCACTAAAATGCATTTACATGTGTAAGCTGCCTACTCCGCTTATTGGCACACTTTTGGAGACAGAGGATGGACTGTGTTATGCTTGACTTCTTGACAACAAAGAAAATGCCAACATTTCTCAAAATAAGTGGATATTCTGACATATCTCAGAACTATTCATGAGTCGGGTTCCTGAAGAATATCTCACATGTTGTTGGTGTTTGGGTGGAGTTCTTCATTGTGTTGTAAATGTTTCATTAAGGTGGACATTTTAAAAAAGATGTATGTATCTGATTTATCTTTTGGAAATATTATATTTTTCATTTGTATTTTTTACATTTTAAAGGTCATCTCTATGTGCAGCTATTTTTATATTGCCAAAAACTCACATAAATGCATAGTAAGAGGGAAATGGAAAAAAAATGACAAGTATTTGTAAGATGACAAGTGTTGCCTTGTAGGTTTGTTTTTTAATGTTTCATGGGCCAGTCTCATGTTCTCGGTTATTCTAATAATGTGTTGTACCTTTTCACTGTATATATGGTGCAAACCTGATGGTCTTGGTAGTGTAAATATTTAAAAGATTGAATTTTTCCCATTTGATTTCTCATTTCAATTGTCATTTTTCCCGCTGTCATTACTGACTCAATGGCCTGTGAAGGCTCTGATTTGCAATTTGGAGAGAATTGCTTTGGGTTCATTTTCTAATTTGTTTTTAATTTACTTTTAAAACTTGTTTTCAGGGTTCCTAGTTTGTGAGAAGTTGATCTTCGGAATTATTTTTACACTATTTATGACTTATTTTCATAATGTAAAAAGTGTGTAATTATTACAGTATTAACCCAAACCATGATAATAAATTGTATTGTTATAAAGTTTTAATGATATTCCTGAGAACGTGGTCCTATTTTCTTTTATTTAGAAACAGTCGACAAAACAGTTGACTACTTTTCTTACCACACCGTAGTGTGGTGATTTTTTTTTTTTTTAAACAAATGCTTTCGGGGTCATATAATAATGCTTCCAAACTCAGCTTCCACTCCAAAGTCACTTTGTTCTTGAATTCCCTATCTGGATGATGTAAGTTACCTCACACTAGGTTACCTGTTCCTCCTTCCCCTCCCCCCCACACCATCACCACATCAGAGTGTAGTGCGTAATTTCACAGCATACCCATCTACCACGTGATGTGGCTGGATGCCTGCACAAGGCACCGATGCGCCACGTGGCCCGTGACTGGAAGCCTGCACAAGGCAAGGGCGATTTGAAAAACCAAAGCCCTTTCGGTACTCCTTTCTTGCTGTTGCCCTTTTCAACGCACTAAGTCCCCATGCTCCCATCCTCTCCGCCTCCTTTTCCTTTCTCTGTGCCCTCTGCTAGGTCTTCCTCCTCCACCTGCTCACTAATTGTCCACCCTCAGGCTCCAATCTCCGTCTTTTTCCGGTTGTTCTCCCTGGAAGTGCTCCTTCATTTCCAGGACGAAGACAGAGAGAGTGAGTCAGCTCTTCCGAACTCCATGCTGGCTTCCTGACCACAAGCGCTCATTCTATTCACCTTCACCCCTGCTTTTCTTCCAGACTCGCAAATCCTAGGAAATGAAGCCACTTTTCCCTCCACCCAGGCAAATGAGATGGAAACTTCAGCCACTTGGGACATGCCCACTTCTCGTAGCCCACCCACTCTGATAATTTACGTGGAACAATGGCTTATCCCATCACTGTGCTTTGATGCTACAAGTCCTGAATCTCAGATCCACCCCTTCTCTCCATCTCCCACCACACACACAGACTCAGTCTAGACTCTACTCAACCCTCTCCTGTCCTTTAGAAGAGTCTTCCAAGCAGACCCCCTGAGATAATAACCCCTTTCCCTTTTTTTCACACTGTCTCATCTTGAGGATAATGTTTGAAAGAAAGTGTAAAAAAAAAATAAAGAGCCACCTGAGATTTCTCATGGCCATTGCCTTTTGGACGACCCCCATGCCATTGCAACTTCAGAGCCCAAGGGAGATGAGTCAACAGAGGGACACTTGCCACCAAGCCAAAGCAACCTGACTTCAGTCCCTGGAACCCACATGGTAGGAGGAGAGAACCAATTCCAAAAAGCTCTCCTCTGCCCTTCACACGCACACCATGGCGTGCACATATACACGCTAAATAAATAAAGGTAAACCATTAGAAATGAGCTGTAGTTTTGAGAGTGTGCCTCAGTATAACCCAAGAACATGGGCTCAAGCAGCTTAGCTGGAGACAGCGCTGCTGCAGGGAACTTTAGCTGTGCTCCATCAGCTCTCGCGTGAAACCCTCTGGTACTCACCCATTTTCTTGCGGACCCTGTATATAGACTCTGAAGCCCACGTGACCACGCATGCCTAGCTGCATATAGCATCCTGTTTTGTAGGCCAGGAACACTTACCCCAAAGTTTTCCCATGGCAAACTAGTCAACAGTTCCTTAACTGCTCTTGAGCCTGGAGTCGTCCCTATTCCCATGCCCGCCAACCAGCTGAAGAACACATGCTGCTCCTCCAAGGAACATGTGCACTGACTTACCAAACTGGCCTGCCTGCCAAGACGAGATACTCCCATGCTCCTGTCATCTCTTGTGCTTATCACCACGTAACACATTCTGAATTTCTAGTGAATATCTAGTGAATATCTTTTGTCTCCTCCAATAAATAGTGGGGAGGGGAGCTTGAACCCAAAGCAACAAATGAAAAATAAGGTCCAAAGTAACAAAGCTAAATCTCACTGGAGTTTATTGATTTAACATGCATAATAGTTAACCACATGGATGTGGTTCCTAAAACTAAAGGAAGACACGTTATGACTGTTATGCAGTTGGGGTAATATCACCAAGCTGGTGTACCGTCATCTAAGAGGCCAGAGAGGATGAAAAGTTTGCAATTAAGGCCAGAAGGACAGAAAGGAAGGCTAAGGCCATATGCATTCAACCCACCGTGTGCTTTCTTTCACTTGAGATAGGGTTCCAGTTTCTGGGAATTGAATATCTGCCTCTTGGAGAGGCCAATCTGGATGCCAAGATTCTGGAGTAATGATACTCATGTCGACCCAGTGCATTGTGGATCAGGAGATTGAGGTGGTTGCTGGGTGAGTTAGAGGCCATCAAAGCTTAGAAAACACTGGTTCTGGTACAAGTGTCTATCTTTGCTCAGTGTGTCAGGGTCGCCATCCCTTCAAACACCACAGACTAGAGGTTCTAGTCGCCTTCCTCTCCATTAGTTCGAGACCCATTCTAGTTCTCCAGTTTCGGCATCCATCAGAGTCACTGGAGACCTTGTGAAATGGCTTTGTTTTTGACCCAGTAGGTCTGAAATTGGAGAGTTCACATTTTCATAGCTCCTAGGTGGTAGTCATGAACTCCGTCCAAGGCCGACCCTTGGAAGAACTGTCCATCTCTTCTCCTTTGTGTCTTTAATGATCTGAGTAACTTGAAGTGTCCCAAGGCAAAGATTGCAGCTTTCCTCTATTGAGAACAATATTTTCTTGCCTTGTCAGTGTGGCGGCCTGCTCCTCTGAGACCATTGTCTCATAGCTCCCTCCCACTGCATCCTCCTGACCCAGGGAACGAAAGCTGGTTGTTTGCCTTGCTCCTTACGTCTTCCTTTATACACACGTATCCATTCACAGACATAAAGCTTTCTCTAAAATAGATTAGCCGACCCACCGAAAAAGAGCCCCTGTGGTCTCCTCACCACCCCAAAGCCACACTTCTGAACCACGCTGCTATTGGAACCAAGCCTTCAACACCTGAGCCTTGGGGAGGGCACTTCAGATCCAAACTGTAACAAACATGCTCCTTCCAGTTCTGAGATCATGCAGTTCCGTCCATGACTGGGGACAAGGAGAAATAATATCAGCTTCTTTCTCTAACAGTTGTATTTTTTAAGTAATTTTCTATCAATCCTGTCTATGACCTTATTATATCTGGATGGTGGGAACAACAGAGTGTCAGTATTTTCACTTGAGAAAAGATCAAGAGAGGAGGAGTGACAGAGCCAAGGGGGGAATGACTCTTATAGCAGACCGTGCAACCAGAACTTTCCTCTCATCCCAGCAGCATTGGATATGAAAGTCTTTTTAATGTGGATTTTCTCTAAGATGTTCAGGCAAGAAAATTTCTAAATTCTCATTGTTTTCTTTTAAGTGAAGCTTTCTTTTCACCTTTTCATATTAGCTATAAATTATTTCTAGAATGCTCTCAGTTGATGTTTGAAGTCTGCTGGATGACAAGAAACTTGGCAATGTAATCACTAGAATCCAAGGGGATGAATTTGAATGGCTATTCAGCCACTTACTAAGACAATCTGTCCGACCTCAATGAGTTTCAATTTTTACATTTACAGTATGGGAACAAAGAAATTACCTTATTCAAGGTGGCGTGGAACACAAATATCAATGGGTTAGCTCAAATATGTGCTTAGTGCAGAAGAGGGTCACAGCACAAGCTCTCTATTCTCTCCCTCCTCCCTTAAAACAGGCTCTCTCTCAGTTGTCCCAGGCTGACCTTGAGCTCGCCAGTAGTCAAGGATGACCTTGAACTTCTGATCCTTCTACTACCATCTCTCAATGTTGGGGCTACAGATATTGCACTACCAGATCCGGTTCATAAGGTACTAGGGGATTGAACCCAGACCTTTACACGTTCTTGCAAGCCCTCTATCAGTTGAGCTACATCCTCAGCACCTTCCACTGCCTTTAGAACAAAACATATCCTTAGCAGAGATTTTTTCTTTTTAAGATTTATTATGTATACAGTGCTGTGCCTGCATGTATGCTTACACACCAGAAGAGGGCACCAGATCTCATTACAGATAGTTGTGAGTCACCATGTGGTTGCTGAGAGTTGAACCCAGGACCTCCAGAAGAACAGTCAGTGCTCTTAACCGCTGAGCCATCTCTCCAGCCCCTTAGTAGAGTTCTTGCAGCGAGCAAAAGGTCTATATTGAGAAAGAATCATCCCTCATTAAAAGCTGAATGCTGTTCCTTGCATCTCAGTGAGTCTATCCCTACTCCAACAGTATCCAAGTACACTGTTTCAATGAGCTAAGCCCTACCACTGGCACACAGTATAATGAGTAAGCAAGTTTGCTTCCAATAGCTTGAATTCAAAAGTAACATTACTACCTCCCAAGACACTTGACAGTCTTCACTGTACAAAACTGGCAAGCCACTGGTAGGAGAAAGAGAAGTGTGCCATGGATCAGTGATTCAGGCAAAGCTATCACAGACAGTTGTACTGAGACCCCCTGACTCCTGTGGCATTTCACCCACATGTTTGCACAGCCAGACCCAAGCTCCAATCCCCAGAGTTTACTCCAGCCATGGCACATGCTGGAACCCTCCCAGAACCCCCGGCATCACAGTACCAGCACGATGATGGGCTACACATTGTGATATTGATAAAAGACAAAGGTTCTCATCACTTAGTTCAAGGTCATGAGCTTCTCCTGACTTGGTTGCTTATTGAACCATAGAACAGAATTTTGTCAACATACAATGCAGGTCAACTCCCAAACTCTTTTCACAGAGGACTGCAAGACTCCCCATAAATTCCTAGCAATACAGAGTACAGCTGACATCTCATAAATGCATGTGGAATTTGGTTCAAGCAAAGCTAGCAGGGCCTCACAGTCATTAGGTAACCCACAGGCACTACCCCCAACAGAGGTAGTGCCTTCGGTTTGTATGCAGCTAGCTTGGTTTTTTTCTAATAGAAGAAGAAGGAGGAGGAGGAGGGGGAGGGGGGAGGGG